TAGACTTTGAACAGAAATAAACAACTACCGCAAACCTAAAAAAAACATTTATGCTCCGTTTTGTCAATATTCGACCTTTATCTCAATTGAACAACTAAGTTATTTAAAAGAAGGAATGAGATGTATAAAAAATAATGTATGGAAACATTTGTACGTAATTTGTACTTGTTATAGTTGGTCGTCGCTAACTGTTATATTTGGTCGTCGCTGATTGCTGTGCCGGAAAAAATGCTGATCACTTTTACTCGGAACGAGGGATCTCTGCAATTCCCATGACGCAAAGTGAGAACGCAAAGACTGGTATAAGTGAAGATTTATTAGCCCCAAAACACTATGACGACGAATCGAATATAGTCTAAAATACACTGGTTTATATATCGATTGTACACCCATTTTGATTAATAATTAGGATTAGATCACATACTCAGTTATAACAAATCACTTACTGAGCATAGTTCATGTCAAGTGAATGCAAGAATATCGTATATTATACAGAAGAAAATATCATACTGGATAAACAGTCAAATACTACACTGAATGATCTTCATGTTGAATCAAAACGGATGTAATATTGAATAAAACTCATAATGAGTAATTCAATCGAAAATTGAGATTTCTTTCCATCATATCAAGCAATAATTAATCAACTGGGTATAACTTGGGTCCTAACAGTACTGTACGTTATATTTGAGTTCAAATCGTCCCATTTTTTGTAGTTTTCAGTTTGAACAAAGCTCAATAACAACTCCGAATTTAATTTGCATGTCTTCAAGTCGGACAGTTTATATGGTCCTTCTCTTTACACAATGATATTAGGTCAACGATCATAATTAATGTTTTTATGACTAAACCTATCGGTAAATAACTCCATTTTACATGTTCTCTGAATATCATTAATACTATGATTTCGAAATGTCAATAAATGAGCAACTACAACTTAAGGAAAAGAATGTTAGAAAATAGATCTTTTAACACTTTAATTGAAGATATGGATGCTAATATATCTCAGTTCAGAATAATTGTTTCACATCAATAAATTACTGCATTTTATAACTAAATCAATAGACATAGAACTGTTAAACTTTGGAATTTTAATTTTTAAAATAAAATCTGACCATTGTTAAGCTTTTCTCTAATGTGAATTGCTACTTGTCACGATTACAGATTCCTCATCTATTTGGATTACTTGCTCCATTTCCATATGACTCAATACGTAAATTTCTATTGTTGTTATGGTACGTGTATACCAAATATCTTCTTCATTCCTGAATGGGAAATAGATTTATTCGGTGGACTTAAGTTAATCTACATCTAATACATCATAAAATATTTAAGAAAATGTCGTACACTTAACAATAATGTGTTCCATTAACGACTAATAACTTTGGTCTTTTATTAAAATAAGTAGCAACTTCTGTTTACGTCTTTTAAGTTCATTAAAGGACAAACGGTCAACATTCAACTATTTCGATATTATTAAGTAAATTATATTCATTTAGTCATATCCTAAATTTACAAGTTTTATCATTAAAATGACTAGGACAGTGACTAAAATACTTTCATATTATTGTTTGCTTGAATGTATTGTAAACGACCTAAATTTTTTTTTTAGAGATAATCACTTCTGATTATAATTGACTGTATAGAATGTAAATCTATTAATTTATACAATACTGATTTGTGTCGAAATCTCTTTTTATCTAACAGTTCATAATTGAAGCTTGTACAATAATAAAACATATTTATTATTGATCTATTAGAAAACTAAATAAAAGATTCTTTTCAAATAACTATTTATCATTGATTATATTCTGGTTATCGTTTTCTTTTTGGTTAGCAAGTTAATTTTTTATACAGGATAGGGTCACTAACCCTATACCCAACACTCCTCTTTTATCCGTGTTTTACACGGGTAATAACTTTAAAGAAGCTAATTCACAATTGATATTTCAGATAAACAACACTATTATTCCTCCTAAACTTTATTCTTATATTCTTTTATTTTCCACATACTCTTTAAATTGAAAAGATATTTTGTTAAATTTAAGTAAACTTGATATTGATGAAAAGTAAAATAAAAAGAAAGAACATTGAAAATAGTTTCATTTCATTACTATTTTCAATTAAAAGAGCATACAATTTTGAAAACGTATCATATTCTAGATTGTTACACAAGGTCAGTTGAATAAAAATTTAGATATATAAGATGGAAGTAATAATATTGTATCCAAATAAAGTCATACAGGTTAAGCCACATGGGACTTAGAAAAGATTAAAAAATTAACCAGAAAATGTCCTTAATCAGTAAAATATTATACACAACTGAATATCATGTATGATCTAAATGAAAAGAAAAAATAGAAAAAAAAACCAACTTTATCAAACGTGATTTGCCAGTTTATTCAGTTCGGTTTTTTTGTTTCTTTCCTTTTATTAGTGAATTTACGATTATAATAACATGACCTGGACATTATTTTTCTTCTTTTTAATTCTTAACATTTAGTCGTTTATAATAGAATTCCATTAGTTTTATTGAGTCAAGAGTTTTGAATAATGACAAGAAAATAAACAGATATACGTATGTATATTAAACCCATTTAGTTATCGCTACGAAAATATATGCTTACTTATTTACGCCTGTTACTCCCAATGGAGGATAGGCCGCTGACTAGTATTCTCTAACCCACTCTATCCTGGGCCTTCTGCCTGGAGCCATTCTTGGGCTACTGTCGGTTACAAGCCCAGATAAAAGAGGAGGGTTGAGTATGTGGTTAGCAACCCCATCCCATAGAAAAATAACTCGCTAAAAAAGCTAACCAGAGAAAATAATTCAAAAAATATATGTATTCTATCCCAAATACAATTATGTTCACGTTGTTAGTCATCACAATGATTTAATAGTGAAGTTTCATGATTCTTATGACAGTTTTGTTTATAAACAGACAGTTTCGGAAGAACATTTGCTAAAGCTAATGAAGTGTTTTAAACTAGTTTGTAATATCTATTCAGTGTTTCGTATTTGTAATATACCTTTCGTAAAAAATGTAATTGTAGTTATTGGCTTATAATCTCCTGAAAGTGAAGTTGTGTATTTTTCCTCTATCATTTCCGGTTTATATATGAGCATTGAATGATCAATGAACTGTGTTGCATAAGATATCAACACTGTGTTTGAATCGTACATCTTTTTTTTCGGGGGGGGGGAGAAGATCAGGCTACTAAAAAAGGTACTACCAAATTATTACTACCGAAACAATACTTTATGTACTAAAACGTTAGAATATATGACAATTCTGAGGTTAGATCTCGACCTGTTTCTGCCATCTTGATATTTCAACAGGTTATCTGTTTCCTTGTTTGCTTTAACAGATCATTATTGCATAACTTATTCAAGTGCGTTTGTGACAAGTTTATGACCCTTCGCTGTACAAGTTACAAAAATGTACAATCAGAAATATAGTGATGTCTGGCAAAAAATGAAACTCTCTGTAATACTTTGTTCTGAGAACTCTATATTGTGCCAAAAATATAACATTGAATAAAGCTAATAATAATAATGACTATTTTATCTTTAATGCATCGGGAATATCGCTACTTTATGTACATTATATAATGTTAGATTTGAAAATATACAAAAATGTTTACGTCGCTAGTCATCACAATGATTTGACAGTGAATTTTCATAATTTTTATGCTCATTTTCAGTAAAACAGTTTTGTGAAAAGTTGTATTGTCTTTCATATCATGCGACTAGAAACGATAGGTAAATACGACAGATTGGAAATAATTTTATTCTTCTACTAAGGATTTGAGTTATATAGTGAACGTTTTGAAATGGTTTGTAAATAATTCCAAACTATCTAATCTCATTGAAGTGTAGATAAATTAATAGCTTTCCTTTATAAAACTAGTTAGATCTAAAAATATGAATAGCTAAAAGAGAGTAAGTTAGAAGACCAGTTGATCCTATTGTAATATGATCAGTTTGAACTTCGGCACGTAGTCAAACTGAAAAGTGGTGAAAAGTTGTGTTTATCAACTTTACATTCACTTGGATAGAGAAGTGAGTCTTTCATGAATTTTGTTCAAAATAAAGTAAATTCTTAATGAATACTAATGTCGACTGGGAAGCCATGGAAATCAAGGGAATAGTGTACAGCTGTTTCGTACTAACCAGAGGTTGAGCTTAATGGGTTTCATCATATTACTTTAGATGCCTTGTGACTGGTTCGATTATTTACTGTTCTTGACTGAATTGTTAGCAGGTACTGATGCGACTTAGGATGAAACGGCTGTTCAATGTGTTATAATTTTCAACAAATCGCTAGTTGATATCAATCCTTGAGTAACTTTTAGACTATTAAATTTGGTTAACATTCTTGATGTACAGTATCTTGTTCCGTTATTTTTTGTAATTCTGTAAAGTTATATTACTTCGAGTATACTTCGAAAACTCTCCGAACTCCTTTATATCCAACTAGAAGTTAGAGCACTTATGAATCCAACATGGTTTTTAATAAACTATCTAAACCGTTAAACAGTTAACATAAGTGAGTAAAATCGTCTTTAGTTGTTATCAATTGGTTTGTTTATATAGAGTAAAAGAGCCGTTAGTATAAGGTGGTTGATAGAGTTTAGTAGAAGATACCAGACCAGCGAATTTTTGAGGGAACTGATGCATCGTATAGGTTATGCATATATGCCCTCCGATGTTATACTGACGGAGCATATCATTTAGCTATTCATTCAGACTAAGTATGATTATACCTTTTTGTTATTCTTGGGAAAGCTATATCACTTTGCTAAATAAAAAAGGTTTATTCGGATAAGATCTATATACAAAGATGATGTGTATTTACGTCGCGTACCACTTGTTCTAACATGTATGTAATTCATTTTAAGTGAGATGTTTGAATGAAAAGTAATTCATATACCAATGTTAAAACTATTTTGCTACAATCTATACAATCATTGTTTTTGTTTCTTAATTCATTATTTAGAAGACTCATCAAATATATTGAATCTTAATGAACAAAATCATGCTACATTTCATTTTAACACAGATGGGATAGATGAAAAAATATTTTTCGAGTTTCGAACACGTAAAGAAAATCAAATAATGTTTAGCTTTGGTAAGTTCTTATTTTTGATTAACCAATTCTTCAGAACTATCGATTTGTTCATACACCGATAGAACAACTCTAGTTTACCATAATTATTAATTGTTAATTACTATTGTCTAAAATATATTTTAGACTGATTTATATATATATATGCATTTATTTTCCAGGTCACCTATCATGTTTTCCTTATCTTCACCTTAGTCCCTAATTATTGACTTCCCTATTCTAATTTCCGAGGTCATTCACAGCCTGCGGTTAACATTGGAAATCCATTAAACTGTTTTCAAATGATCACAACATTTTTCAACAAACTAGAAAAAAACCTACATTTTTTAAATATTTACATTTCTTCAGCAATCTCAACAAAATTATTATTAACTTAACAACACAAATATTCCACAACATTTTGATGATTTCATTATATGAAATATAATTTAATTTCGTCAAATAACCATTGAATTGTTTATTAACTGTTACAGTTAGTGAACTACTAACAAAATAAGAGTAATTCACATTGAATAATATAACGAATTTTAGCCTAATGTTGTAATGTACCTTAAAAATATGATATGTGTCAGGTTTATGTTTAATGTTGTTGACCGGTTCTCACTAACATCAGTTTCTATCATTCATTATACATAGTACATTGATAGTTTCAAAACATTTTTATTAAACGAGCAAAGAAGCAAAAGTTGATCCCTACAAGTTTTTTACTCTATTCTAATTAGATAACAAAAAAATCTTTATTGATAAACAGAAATTTATTTTTCTAAAGCGTAATAGCTTATCAAAAGTGTATAGTAAAGAAATGACCAATCAATAATTTCGTAAATGACAAATAGTCTATAATGGGTATAAATAATGGCTCATTTAACTAGCAGGTTATATGACCATCATATCCAGCAAGATTTACTAATCCAATGAAACTTTAATGAATGCAATAAGAACAGTGTAGAATGAACTGCTAAGTGTAATATGATGAACTTACAAATATAAGGTTCGTACGAGACAATCATTTTATTACGTTGTAATACTACGATAGATTAAAATAATCTCTGTTCATCCAAATGATGAAACAATCGGTTTTGAGCATATTTTGGTAATTATTAGAACAATAAAACACTTATGACAGAAAGTTTTATAGAAATGATTTAAATGATAACTTTCAGATTGAGATATAATGGTTATTCAAAAATTACTGTTTTTAATGTTTCTACGGCCGAGATCGATCCATGTTTTTCATTTACATATGTCGAGTTTATGTTTGACTTTGAATATAAAAGGTAAGAATATGCTGCTTAAGAATCTTAAACATGTCTCATAAAACAATATTGAAGTAATCATTATAATCAGCATTTTCAGCCAGGTAAACCATATATAGATGAGACCAATCAAAATGAACAATATTGGAACATCTCATCAATCAGGTCTACACTGGCTAACAAATTATTTATAGGAATAAATATAATCAGAGTTCTATTATCATAATTACATTATCGACATTACATTATCATGGATTGCACTGTATTTGATGAAATGACAACTATGAGATAGTGAATATATGATATACATTACATGTAATGTTTAGCTATATAAAAGTAAACTAATTGACTAATGAACAATTATCCTGGTAAAATAAGGAGGGTAGGAGACAATCGGTATTAGCTTTAGTTGATCATTGTATGATAAGTATATTTATTGAGTTTTAGGCAGACCAAAGTAACAGAAATAATTAAACCTGCTTCTTTTGGATACAAAGCTTCTGATGTTTTAATCTGTATTCTAATATTCCTTAAACGTATAATAAATTTAAAGTTTTTTTTCACATTTTTATCACAGAATTAACCAGCATATTGACGCAACATACAAAGATGAAAGTTGATTCTTATTTGCTTGGTTACTTATTAAATGGAGCATTGGTTGTAAATCTGTTTAACCATTTTTCAGAAAAACGTTCTTATTTAAACCATGCAAACACTCAAAAGATCATTTCCTGTATATCTGATTATGACACTTGCTCTGACACGCAATGGCATCAAATTCTATTGACGATAAAAAAGAATGATGTAAGTTTTAAGCTAAACTACTTTGTAACTCTAATAGAACTTTTACAAAAATTTGTTAAATTAAAATAAGGACAAGCTAATTCATTAAAGGCGAGGATGATTAACAACCAAATATTCATACTTAATGCAATCGATGTTTTGTACTTTATCTTTACGAATACGAATACCAATTCTCAGTGATCAGCAGATTACGAATTATATAATCGAAATACCTGCAAAAGAATACTTAGTTTACATCAATATTTACTAACTGTCTAAAAACGAGTGACCTTTTGTATTACGCAACTATCTATTTTTGCCAATTTCGGCGGCCTATGCTCCATTGGGAGTAACAGGCGTAAGTAAGTAAGTAATATCTAAGTTATACTCAATCCAATTTGGATTTTACAATCTGACTAACCTAGACTGTGACTGAAAATGTCTCACCAAACTGAGATATAATTATTGAGCACTACAGTATATTATTTGTGACATAACTTCATTCAGCATCATAATCTAACTTATTTAAGGGACAACTAAAATTATAAGAACGTAAGTATTCGTCATTAACACAGTCTCACAGTTTTTAATTTTTTAAAATTCATTCTGACTTATAAAATTTTAAAGCACCTTGATTTGTTTGAAAATTTACATTCAATCAGAAAGTCAACTGTCAACTGATGACACACTCAGAGTAAATCATGTGAATTAAATTATAATAGTCTAATATTATAGAACGATAAAATGAAGGGAATAAAAATTCAGTTAGATTACGAAAATATTACATTTTAACTAGCAGAATATGTAAAGAGACAACCAGTTTATTCACGTGCAAAAATTATTTATAGATGTCCAAGCTTGATTAGCTTAATAAGACATAAAATAACTGGCACAGTTTCGTGCTAAGGATTCAATTTGTAAAAGAACTAGTGTGTTTACATGTCGTCGTGCTAGGTACAATACCCCACTGTCTGGTCATTATTAGGGATCAAATTCGATCGATTACGTTTTACTAAGCCCTCTAGTAAGCAACTGGACATTTTGGTACAATATGTTTGGAATCACCCTTGAGGAAGCCCTAAACATAGGTTTCGTGTTATCTTCCACTCATCAGCAAGACCTGTTTAAAATGTTGATGGGAATAAATGTCTCCTTAAGATTCGAACATTTTTGCTCAACGTCATACAGAATTTCTAGCCACAGTTAGTTCGACTAAGATTGTTTCATACCAACGAGTTACTCGCCCTATTGAATACTAATGTTTAAATGTGAAGGGATACATACGATTGCATAGAGTCAATAAATTTATTAAGCCATGGTAAACGAAGCACGTTTTACAACCGTAAACGTCCATGTCCACTTTTTTCATCTAAATGGTTGTTCATTTTCTTTTGACAGTTAATGAGATTCTGAATGACATTCATTTCGAGAACCAAAACCAAGAGATAGATTACGAGCTACGTTCCAAAACGTGTTATCTGGAATTTCTTCAAACAACCCAAATTTATGAATTTATGAGTGCTTATTTCAATTAGTTTATTTGTTTAAGTAGCTTATTTACTATCGTTGAGTAATATATAATTTTAATTGCTCAGTTCTACGTGAAGACATAATAAAGCACAAAATTATCATTTTCTTGGATGAATGTTTTGAATTTCTATTTTAATTTGTTAATTAATGGTTCATGTACTTAAATTACTGCAACGTAATTTCTGCATGTGTTTTACAGATATTACTTGTACTTGACAATCAACCTCAAGTCAAATTAAATCCATTTGGTCAAGATGGATTAATTACTATAAGAGTTATGCACTTGGGAGGAAGTTTTTTGAATACTTCACAAGAAACGTTTACACGATTTATTCCAAGTATCGGGAATCTAACAAATTTTAGAGGTTGCTTTCAATCGGTATGTTTCCCTAGCTTTGTCGATTGCATTTCATTTAGGTTCAGCTATGTAATTTAAAGCAGTTTTGTTGTTATTATCACTTCATGTTCTGTAAAATTAATTGTTAACTTTAAATAATTATCACTTGATCATTTTGACAATAGCCATTAAGGAATAAAAATTTTTGATTACGGGACTTTCAGTAATTAGATGCAGTGAATTTCCATTAAAGATTGACATCAATTGATGAACTCAAAATCAGAAAGCACTAGATTGATCTTTACTCCTTGTTTGAAAATTTTCAGCAGCGTGACAACTATGTCCTTCATCGATCAAAACTAGTTCCTTTAGGTCTCATGATCAGCTTGTGAACTTTAGTTTTCTGAGTTTATATTCGGTATTTGGAATTTTTAACTCTAAAAAGTTCATCAAGTGGCAGAAGCTGACTGTCTTACTCCCAATATTCTTTAATTTCAACAGGTATATCTACTCACTAAACATCTAGAAATTATTGTAGTAAACATTCATTAATTCCTTAACTGAGCGGTTGACTAGTACTAGTTCCAGTTAAAACTGGTAAAAGAAAATTATTTATCACTATTGTCCTACCTAATTTTTCGATAATTCCTACTATCAATTTAGCATAATTATAAAAAACAAATAAGCGATCATAACAGAATCCTTAATTATGAATAATTTGCAATTATTTGCTTATTTGAAAAAAAAGACTGTTAATCATGCATAAACACATCATAAACCCAAAATGGGACGAAACGGCCATCCAGTGCTTCCAGGTTTTCCATGGTGGTCTAGCTGCAGTTGACTCATGATCCCAACTGTCGAAATTATTACAATCTCGACAAAACCTCTTCTGATACTAATCAACATATGCTCACTAGTGACTGGCTTCAAGAGGTGTATCCTGGAGTTTTAGTGAGAAGCAGTGACCAGTGCAGTTCAACCGGGTCAGTTGTGAGATAGTAACTCACCGATGACAATGGTGGATGTGTCGCTCAATTTCGTGGGTTAGTTGAAGTAAGACATTAACACCAATGGATGCCGGCTCAATGATCTAGTTGGTTAAGTGCCTGGCGCGAGACTGACAAGTCCTGGGTTCGAACCCCTCGAGGTGGGGTCGTGAATGCGCACTATTGAAAAGTCCACAATAAGACTAAATGGCGGTCCAGTGCTTCCGGGTTTTTCATGGTTGTCTAGCTTCAATCTACTTATGATCTCAACTTTTGAATTTACATCAATAATTAATTATCTCTAGGCTTCTGGAAAGTTACCGTTATTTTAATTTCATTTGAATAATTGAACATAAAGTATTTATGATAATGGAAAATGTCTAAACATGAATTCAACTAGTTGTTCGAATAGTATTTTTTCAGGTGTATCATTGGTATTTAGAGACTCTGAAAAAAATAATCAAAGTTCTATTCCTCGTTTTCACAATGAAATTTAAGTTTTTCCTCTACTACCTTTCAATGCATTAAAATGATAATGATAAGTATAATATTTTCATTCGGTTAATGAATAGACAAATTTTAAACAAAAACAAGCAACAATTCAAATTGACACATCATTGTTTACGACTAGCCTTGTTCCTATGACATCTTTTGTGTTGCGAAATATATATATATATATATATATATATATATATATATATATTGTATGATGATCAACTGTTGTTTGTCCAAAGCATTGACAGAGAGGAAAATATACGAATCATCGTGGTAATATATCATGAGTTTTTCATCAACCAGATTCTTGATATGTTTTAAAAATGGAATCGCATAAACACAGGTGGTTCACGAACACTATACGTTAATTAACATAAATCTAAAACAACAAAACTTTTGGCAATAAGTGTACTTTCGAAACAATAGTTGTCCTGGGATTTGAGTAGGACACCGTGAATTATGATGCTTGTTTATAGATATTTAGTGTTTAATGATGCGAGTTTTAGTAGCTTAAAAAGTTAATAAATAGAGAAATTTATTTAATATTCTCAGAAACAAACTGGTATTGCTTTAGTTTTGGCAAACGTTGTTTAACGTTTAACGACTAAGAGTAGTATATAACTCTCTACTTCATGGATTATGAAAAAAAGCACGAAGCACAAATATATTCTAGTCGTTCGTCAAAAACTTAAGTCAACTGAATGCTATAGATAGCATTCATTCAACACGAAGAATCAGGTAAATAAAACCTTGTTTCCTGCCAAATGATCAGTGTGAAAAATTCTAGTTCTACAGAAAGTCATCTAGAGCATAAACAATTCGGTGATAAATTTATTATCTATGACAATAGGTGTTGTTTTTCCATATCACTTAAGTAGCATCCGTCTCTTCATGATTGAAAGGATGATATTGGCTCATACTTGAAACTTATATAATGTAATTTAGTACCTAATTCATCTTACAAAGTAAATTTCTTTTTCTTTATGGTAACATTAAGTTTAAATGGCAATATCTAATTACAAAGTTATGAGGGATATACGTGAGTTTAGCGAGAAAACAAAAACATCTAAAGTTGATTTTTTTAATGATGAATTTTCTTTGGCATCGCTGTTAAACTTTATGATTTCTACAATGAATAATAACAAACGTAGGAAGAAAATCGAATTTTAATGTAGACGAACTTTAACTTTATTGATTAGCTTACCATCAGTAAATAAATGCTGTACGACAATCGTGTGAAGTTTATTTTTTTAAATAGTAACCATGTGAAAAATTTTTTCGAAGAAAAAAGTAACTTTTCTTAAAAAATTTCGATATCAAACAGGCATTGTAGATCAATTGTGAATGATAGAATAGACTATACTAAGCAATGGTGTACGGTAGAGCAACTTCGTGAATTGGTTGAAGTTAGACATTAACACCATTGCATGCTGGCTCAGTGGTCTAGTTGGTTAAGTGCCTGGCGCGAGACTGATAGATCATGGGTCCGAATCTGGCGGGGTGCAGGATCGTGGATGCGCACTGCTGAGGAGTCCCATACTAGGACGAAACGGCCGTCCAGTGCTTCCAGGTTCTCTATGGTGGTCTAGCTTTAATTGACTCATGATTTCAATCAAAAATTAACTTTACTATTGAATAACAAGCATAGGATTTCGTATATTAATTAATTACTTTTAACTTGTGATTCATATATGAGAAAGTATCAATTTATATTTCATTTATCTTACAGATTATTTATAAAAGTGGAGAATTATTTATTCCATTATTAATTACAAAAAACACAAAATATATTCAATCTCAACTACCAATTCAATCTAATTTACGTAATTGTGATTACAAATTATTACAACAAAAAATAAATATAGATCATTCAAAACTAAACAGTTATGTATCATTTACTAAACCAGGTAGTTATTTAAGAATCAAAGGATGGAAAGTTGTACTTCATGGTGAAATCACATTTATTTTACGTACAACTACTCTTAATGGATTAATTATTTATAGTAATTCTATAAATGAATATGAATTATTTCCAAAAGATATTAATGAACCAAATTTATTAGAAAATATCCATGAAGTCAAACAAACTGGTTACGATATATTTGCTTTAGAATTACGTTTAGGAAGATTACATTTTTTATTAAATACTGGATCAGGTATTGTTCAACCAGAATTTGATAGAAAATATTTTGAATCAGAAAGTAAAGGTTTTATTTCCGATGGAAAAGAACATTCTATTCAAATTGTATTTGATGAAGGAGATTTAATAATAAATGTTGATGGTGAAAACTTTGTAACACATGGTACAGGAATTAAAACGTAAGCTTATGTTGTTTTGACCATGATAATAATAGACTAAACATTATTTACAATGATATGTAAACTGTAATAACATTAATCATAGCTTTAAAACTATGTGATCTTGATATTCAGATATACACTTGAATATTTAAGTAAAATATTGTGTAAATAAATTAAACCTGTAATTTTGTGTTTGTTGAAATCTTAGATACCATTTAAATGCAATTTATTATCAGTCGAAATACAGATAAAGACTTTTAAACAAAGATGGATAGTAGCTAGCAGTGGGATTCAGGACACGCGTTTCGTCCTGTTTGAGACTAGTCAGCTGGATGTACTGCATCCCAGAGTTGATGTTCACTCTATGTTCACTATCCATCTTTGTTTAAAAAGTTTGTGACCACAGAATATATCGAGCCAATCCGCATAGGATGCAGATATGCCAACATGAGATTGATCAATCGCAGTTCTAAATAACAATGGGAAAATGCAAGTAAAACAATACCAAGTGAATTTACAATTAAAGATTGTTCAGAAAAATAAGGTCTGCTTAACTTTTACAAAACTGTTCACTATGCAAGACATTTTGCCATAATATATTTTTTTAAACAGATTGCTGACTGAAGAATAACAGAAATGATGAGAAACTCAAAAAAAGTTTCCAGAGCATGGATTACAAGTATTAAGTAATATGTTTTGATTTTAGTGTCGGTTACCATATTAAGCCCATATAACTTATTCTAGCTTATGGACTGGCCAATTCATCCATTCTTTTTAAGTCACGTTTTGACATCGTTAATTATTTACTTACCAACCTTGACTGTTCTTACACGAGCCTATGTGTGTGTACATCTTATCCCACTCATCACATGTCTGTAGTTTATATTTGTGTGACTATAAATATTAATTAACGCCTAATTAAATGGGGTTGGCTTCCATACCTTCTCCACTAAGCGTCGTTTCGTTTCGTTTCGCTCCCTTTTCTTCACTTCCTTCGCTACGTCTCTCTGATTGTCTCTCTCGATCAACGTTTGTACAAAATATACGTATTTGACTTATTTAATTCCATTATTCAACAACGCGATTTAGGTTGATGATTATATACGAGAATTGGCGGTATGTATATTTCAATAACAATCAATCATATGATCTGACTGATAACAGCAGTATAGATTACAAGTCATATTATATACATATATACTTATATGATATACTTTTTCAAAAAGATGACTTAGTTCTACTCGATAGGTTACTATTTATTCAAAATACTTTTTCATGAGTATCTTATAAAAACTGATGCAACACTGAAGATTGTTCACACTTTATGAAGCTAAAACATCTTAAAAGTCAGTTTTATTTTATAATCCATAAAACACGACTTTATTTGTATTCCTGAGATAATTTTGTAAACAAATAGATGTAGATGCCAGTTGATTAACTGTATCCTCCATTATTGTACATCTATTTACAGGATGTAAAGAATTTTACATTTTTTATAATATTAACATAGAACACATTTATCCTGGAAAACCAGATAATCCACTTTCACCACTAAATTCATCTAAACTTATAAATTTATTATCTGTTCATATTAAATTTACTTCTCACAATGAGAATGAGCTGTCCCTTTTAGAACTACTTAGTTAATATGAATTTAAATAACATATTTTAACTATCTAATATGAAATATAAAATTAAAATCAGCACATTTATTCTGTGGTAGACCATCACGAGATCTAGATAATATTGAGATAAATGTCCAAATGTGTTGCAATAGGGGTACGGATCCAATATTTTGGATATTTCTTACAAATCTAATTATTTACTTAAGAATATTAATAAAAATGATTTAAACACAAAAGATGATTTCCTTATGAAAGATCAAAATTAATATCTTGGATTGAGACTGTACTTTAGAAGATGTACAGCGAGTGTTGAGAAAATATAGAACGTAGCAATAACTTCGTAATGGTTTAATTAGTAAATAAGACAGAAACCAATGCACATAAGAATGGAATTGTTTGCAAATGAAAAACTTCTCTCATGAATTTTGACTCAAGCTCAATACATTCAATTTAGTATATTTAAAACACAATAATCTGTCATATTCAACAATCACCAGTTCGGTATTAAAAACATTCAAATAAATCACAAAGGTTTGAATAACTACAATAAAGGCTAATAGTTAAAACAAACTTTGTAAAATTCATCTTTCCATCACCTTAAGAGCATATTAAAAACACACCAACAAATCAAATTTCATTTGATTAATCACTTATGCAATTGTAAACTAACTATTTATATGTTATTGCTTTTGTATCTAGATATAAATACTTGAATTTGAATGAATACTTTTATATTGGAGGTCTTCCTGAGTCAGTGCGTCAAATTAACTCATTTATATCGCCTGAAGTATGGTCAGCGCAATTAAGACAAGATTTTGTTGGATGTTTAGGTGAATTCATTGTAAATAAACGCTTATGGGATATCGATTTAGAAAGGCGACCATGTTGGTCTAAGCCATTTGTGGAAAATGGATGTAAATTGTCTTCATCAATAGACTTTTGTACAGATAAACCATGTAGAAATAAAGGTCAATGCATCTCTAGTTGGAATATTTATGAATGTGATTGCAGCAATACTAATTTTAGTGGAAAAACGTGTACAGAAAGTAAGTCCTTGTAGATTTTAACAGTTCATCTATTTTTTCTTGAAAAACAAACCAAAGCAAGTCAGTGATGTGAAACGTTAAGCTTAGCATTCTTCAGTTTAGTTCAAATGTGTTGGATGTGAAATAAATAACATCAGTGGTGCTGGATAACGGCCGCATAATATCACTAATTGATTTAGGCTAGAACTGTAAACCAATAGAAGCCGCCTCAGTAATCTGAAAGTTACTCTCTGGCCGCAGGATTTGTAGGTTCTGAATGCAGTCTTTGATAGGGTAGTGGATGAATACTGTTATGGAGTCTGTCTAGAATGATTTATACCAAAAATATTAACAACTCATATGACCGGGTATTACTACTAATAAAACAATATCGAGAACAGACGTAAAAATCCTTCAAAGTGCTATAGTCGAAAATACGCAAATTTACCAGTGTATTAGCATTTCAGTTTGTTTTATTGGGTATGCCTTGAACGTAAATATGTAATTGGATATTGATCGTTTGAGATGGTGATTGGAGGTAGTTGACAGGAAATCCTGTATTTGGCAGCCGTCGGAAAAGTGTACCTGTAATCTTGAGGGAACTGATGCTGCTTGAGATTGGTTGCTAATAAAAGTATATACAATATAAGATAGCTTATTGCAGGAGCTTATCACAATTTAATCATGTTTGATAAAAGTATTCCGAGGAGAGCTATACACATGTTATTAGTCTAACAGATTCTGGTTATAATTCCCCATCAGTGTATTGTTTTAATGTTAATAAGGACGAACGGAGTTGAAATATCTTGAAGTTATATTCTTTAGAAATACTTTACACTTCGACTTTCACTATCTTCCATGAAAATAAATAATCATCGCAAGACAAATTATTTTGAATTAACACGTCGTTTACTGTCGTTTAATATTGACATCATTTGGTCAATTTCTGTTAAAAATACGCATTTGCTCTACAAACAGTAAAATACATACATCAATTTACTACATATATTAAGAAATTACGTCATTTAAAAAGAATCCGTGTTTCCTTATAATGACCGAATATTCATTTTGCTTCATAGTAACTGCTTTTGTTTAGTAAGAAATTGTGATACTTAGAAGTTTCACTTAATTCTGAACTGCTATATGACTCTACACTGTCTTTTGAAATCGTTGATAAGGATAAATGATCATTAGGAACACTGAACTTAATAGAATCAGAATTACAAGACAATATTCGTTGCAGCAAGATGGACAGTATTATTACAAACTGACTGAATATGTCAAATATCACCACATTTAAATCACTCAGTGGAACTTGCCACAGAACAAACATTGACCAAACTTGTGCCCATCTTCGTGAACTGCATCGCATTTCCCCAATAAATAATCTGCATAACCTTCGGTATACACTGGATTGGGATGACGTAATGTAGTGGAATTTTTTATATCCTCATGGATCGTTTTACGAAATCTTCCTCCTTTACGACATTCGAAATTTGTACACTGAACATAGTCTAGCAGTAGATCCTTGAGAGTTGTATAAGAAAGCGAAATGGGCTTATCCGGTAAAGCCAGAGTTTTTAATAAGTTATATGCCTCTTTTCCGATGAATGTGAGGAAATTTGCCACAATATTAACATCCTCATCATCTTCCTTGGTCATAGCCCAAATTTCGAACCTTTCAAAGTAATCCTCAAAAGCATCAAGATCTGAATGTATATCCAACAATTCCATCACAGGATCCTTCTCGCGACGCCAATGTGATACTTAGAAGTATTTGAATTATAGTATGCACTAAGAATTCCAGAAATAACGTAATTGGATCAAGAAACATTAGATAAGCACGAACGAATGTACTGTATTTGGAATTCAAAATCAAGCATTCAATAAGTACAAAGGAACCATTAGTCCATTCAAACACCATAGAAACTTATTATGATTATAATCGAATTAGTAAGATTTAAGGTGATATGTTGGATCAATCTTACAAATGGAAGAGAACATTTTTATAAATGAAAAAAATAATGAATAAATTAAGGTGATTTTTTTCTTTTCATTACATAATCAGAAATCATATCAACATAAAGTTTGTTAATTAAAGTTTAATCACTAGTCGACAATAAATTATTTTAATAAAACAGAATAGGCACAACATACCTGGTGATAATATAAGATCAAAATTTCAATTATTAGTTCAGAAAATTTATGAAGATAGTTGAATTTATTGCTTAGAATATAACAAAATTCAAAATAAAACATTGAACTGGTAGTAAAATAAAAATTTGAAAAAAGGAAACGGCGTTGTTTTATTACATCAACTGTACACAAACACACACACACACACGAACATACATACATAAAAACTCATGTGTAATTTCACCTCATTTATTGTCGTTGTATATTCATTTCATTATATTAATTTGAAATTGGTAAAATTTATATGTTGACCAATGTTATATGAATACATGTTTTTTCTGAATTATTTAGATCCTATTATTGTTAGCTTTGATGGATTTCAATGGTTATGGATAAAATTCAGTCCATTACCTATTCAATCATCCGTTGAAGAATTGACTTTGAGATTTAAAACTAAATATGAAGATGGATTTCTGCTAACCACACGAAGTTCTATTTTGTCAGCACCAGATTGTTTAGAATTGAAAATTATTTCTGGTTATTTATCGTTAATATATAATTTAGGTGCAATAGACAATGTAAGTTTGAATATATTTATCCAAATTGGATTGTCATTTTCATTCAGTATTATATTTACGATTGATGCCGTGTTATGCTTATTTTTGATTTAACATTGAGTTCAAATTATTTTTAATTGGATAACATTTTCTAGTTCGTACGGTATGGTCTGCAGTATCATCCTAATCACCTTAATATAATATTTGACTTGTTTTGCCTTGTATTCACAAATTTACATTCTAATGATTACACCTCGAACATACAACTTAACTAATCACATATTTTTAAAAGTATTTTAGCCATAAATAAATCAAATTAGACTAGTTTACATTAAATATTGTTGACTGGCTATAGTATTACAGCATTGCTGAATTTATAGTTACAAAGCTTGGAGATAAAGCTACTATAAACAGTTCTGAACTCAAACAATACCCGTTTCTCAATAGTAGTTTTTTCCTAATCTTATTGAATTTTAAATGAAAAGTTGTGCACATACTTGTATTATATTAGTAATTTTTCCATTTTCATCACATAAATCTATTATTAGTACTGAATTGAGAAATCCACTTCACAATCTGATTTAACAAGTAGGGAAAGTGACTGTGAACAGTTTCTTTCTTAAAACGACTTAATTATTAACCACTTTGAATGGTCTGTCCTTATAAAATATTCTTATCAATGTACACAAAAATCAAATATCAACTCCATAAAAAAATGAGCATAAAATATGTTTCGTTAGTTGAGTAGGAAAGTTAAGTACAAAACTCTTTCTAGTAGAAATATAGGAAAAATACGCTTAAAAATGAAAACTAACTTTGGGGGATTTTAGGCTTTGTTAAAAGCATTTGTTGATTTTTCAGCTGCCTGAATTACTACAAAATAACTTGGTAACATCAATTACAAAAGGCTCACATTGTATTGTCTCTAGATTCACACACCAAACCGATCAGCAATGACACAGTGTAGAATTGTATTTTAATTAAACTTTGAAAGCCACATCTATTCATTTATTCAAGGTTGAGAGTTAGGAAGACAGGTTTCAACTAATTATCAAATATAAAGGTTACAAATGTAGCATCATAGACTATTGTTAAGCTGACAAATATCAACAAGTCAATAATTGAGCCTCGATGTTACTTGATAAAAAATAACTAATTCCTTTGTATATATGAACCCTGCTTTACTCCAGCTAATTTATTTACATATTGTTGTTACCGCAATGTTAGACCAACATTGAAAACCTGTAAGCACTGAAACGCTATTTCGTTTTAGTATAAGATCCTCAGCAGTGCTCATCCACGATTTCGCACGCGTGACTCGTACCCAGGACCCCATACAGAGACAGTTACTAAAAAACAACGGTGGAAGGTCGAGCAATATCGTGGATTGGTTGAAGTTACATATCAACACCGTTGGATACCAGCTGGCTCGATGGTCATGACCAAAATTACTGGGTTCGAGTCCTGAGTGCGAGATCGTGGATTTTCACTGTTAAACTCAAGAAACCCATTTGATAACATTGTGAATTGAAATTTAACCTACGATTGTACATGTTTAATAAGCAATGCCTTAGTAATGAAAATTATTTTTTTTATATCACTTTTTATTTCTCAGCCTGACGCAATAGGATTGTTCGTTGTTTCTAGCTACTCATGGGATTTGTGTACCTTTGTAAACATCTAATTAAATGCCATGTAGTATTTTTTCTATCAAATGAATAATAACGACATATAAATCACTTTCTCAACCTTGTTCAAAAGCATGATAGTTGAAAACATCTTTTTGTATATTATATCGTTTCAGCGATATGTTTAGAAAAATCGAAGTGACTTCTTTGCCAAGTAACCTGTTTAAGTCTATAATTAAAATTAGTTCAATAAACGATGTACGCTTTCTGTAAATAAACTAGCTTCGCTTCAATTTTCATTCATATGTTTACTTAATAGCACATGAAGACACGATATACAGAGGAAGACATCAGTGTAAATATTTTAGGCTTATTATAGTAATAAATGAAATTATAACATTCCATACAATTTCCGAAATGTGTTCAAAAAACTACTTGAAAAATTGGATTCTATTGGGTAAATATTTTTATTTGCTTTTTTTCTCAAATAATTCACAACTGATGATGGTTACTATGTTTACACAAATGACATTTTCACTCGTTTAAGGTTTGCTTTACCCATACAACATAAGCAAAAATATTTATTTTAGGTTATTAAGAAAATTCTAAGTTAAGAATAAACTCGGAAAATCATAAATAAAAATGAAAATTTAGCAATGCAATAGGAACGAAACAATAAGTTCCTAAAGTGAACATCAACATTGAGATGCAGGCACATCTAGCCAACAAGTCCCAAATAGGACGAAACGTGCGTCTTGAATTCCACTGCCGACCAACAACCATCATTGCTTATAATGCTTGTGAATTAAGGCAATACCGAGGCGATTCGCACAGGATATTCTATCATTAGCTAGATATGGAATTCAATCCCATTAAAATATTTTAGTTAAACAGAATAAATAACACCCTAAGTTATAGAGATTGAAAAGTGTATCAAGGCAAATTATGACAATGAAAATGATCGGTAAGATTGATCAATTCGGGATTTTCTCACATTCATAGTTTTGTCTCTTTTTTACATAATCCAATTCCATTCAGTCATGTTGCTATTTATATTAATTACTTTCTTAGATGAAGTATTTCACTTTGATCTTGTATCATAAATGATATTGCCAACAAACCCAGTTCAGTTAATTGAATAATTTCAGTTCGTACAAGGTTATATTCACAGATTATTTTACTCAAGTATATGTCTGTTTAGATGCTCGAAGGTAAAAGTCATTCTAAAAACACTAGACTTTTTAATTTTCAATAATTCGTGAACATTTATTAACCATAGAGTTGATCTTTAATTGTCAAAAAAATCGTAAAACAAGCCTACGTACCCTTGATCAGTAATGATGTTTTGATCCATATTTATGTTGAGGCTTTCTTTTCTTTTTCCATTTCAGATTTACCATAACCCGGTGTATATAGCTGACGATCAATGGCACACTGTAAAAATTTATAGAAGACAAAATGTTCTCAACTTCTCAGTTGATAATCTATTTCAAACTTTTGGTAGGTATTGAGTTTATTTGTCAATATACAATGTAAAATAAACTTATACTTATTCAGCCTATTGCACGGTTAAGTATAATTTGCTTTCCTTGTGTAATGATAAAATTATTCAGGAAGGATAAAAGTTATCTAACATTTTCATTTTATCATTAAATATGCCCCAATTCATGTAAATAAATATGAAACATTTAAAACCCTAATACTGCCTTCAAATACTATTTCGTATTTTAAATTGAAATAAGTACGTTTGTCACTCCTAGAATCCCGTTAACATACGTTTTATATATAAAGCATAAACCGATTTTCAACACTACACATAAAGAAAGGATTCAGTTGATTGAAGAATATATAAGTCATTTGAAAAAGTCTCGTACACTTCATATAAGAAAAACTGAATTAATGTAACAAGTCTTTAATTAAAAACATTCCAGAACAGCTACTGACCTTAATAAACCGAATATATTCCTCGCATTTTCTTCAGTTTAGTTGTTTCAACAGAAATCACTTTTGATGGAGTTTTGTTCTTTGAGCTTGATGGTTTGGCCGTGGAGCTTTTATCGTTTTTTTGAATGACATCATCAGTAAAAACCTCAGGTAGAAGTGAAGTGTTCGAAAGCTGCTTTACCGTACCATCCATCTCAGAGGACAAAACCCCATCAAAATCATCCACTTGAGCTACGAATCTTCTTAGCCATTTCAGAAATACCTTTGACAGCTTTTAGTGTAGAATTCAAGGAATTTGTATTATCAGACATTCAGTCGATAAGATATCATTTTTCACGATAAATAAAGATACTATATAATGTGAAATTTTCCAAAAGCTTCAACTGATATGAATTAAATATTTTTTGTAGACATTCCAAAAGATGGTCGTTATCTTTCACATCGTCATTTAATCCTTGGCAATTCTGAAGATTCTCTAACAAACCAGTTGATAGACACACCGACACAATTTAATCACAACATCAAACAGATAAACAATTTGAATGTTCATGTTTTCATTGGTTACATAATGGTTTTTCTATTTAATGGAGTTGATTTTTTACGAACTGCGCAAAATTTAAAACATGATCCTAGTTTATACATTTGGAAAGATAAACTAGATATTACAGCTACTCAAAGTAATTATGAACCAAATCATGAGTTACCATTAACATTTAACAATAAAGATTCTACCATTGAAATTCAACTTGAACATTCTACAAGTGAATTTATCCTGGGAATGTGGATAAAATGGAAGGTGAGTTGTGAAAACTTATACATTTGTTAAGTTTTTATATTATTATGGAATTCCCATTAAATGTTTGCACCACGCATTCACTTTCTCCGTATTCATGTTTTCCCGACATTATTCCAAGATTTCTATTGAAGAGCTATTATTCGATGTGAGTTCACGTAAACAAGAACAAAAAGTGCTAACCTAGATAATTAATTACATTGAACTATATAAACGCTTAGGAAAACCTTTGGTTTGTTTGACATATTTTCTATATATTTATGTTGGTACAAGTGCGACGATTCAAACTAGAGGAATGGAAAATGTCAGATACATAGTAAGAGTATGATTTGGAATACATAAAAAGAAACTTTAAAATTCCTCACGTAGAAGTAGTAATTTATTGTATAATTACTTTAGTAACTTACAGCTTTCGTTTTTGCTACTAATAACCTCTTCATTACTATCATTGCATTTATATAATAAATAAACAACAACAACAAACTATTAAGGTTACAATCACGATATTCAAAAACCACTTACATGAGTGAGATTCGGCGATAAGCAAACACGAGTACATTATGCTCAACGCTTGTAGATTAGAAATTCAATTCGACAAGCTAATTAAGTATTTTCTATAAATACTTTCATTCATTGAGTAAATTAATTGCCGTAAATTATGTAAGCAGGTTACATTCAACTAAGTGAAGTGAAGTGTTTTACATAAAATTGGTTGATTACTACTGAAAAAAGTGAACAAATTAAAGAATACTAAACTTACTCAATTATACCACTGGACTATCAACATAATTCTAAATAAATACAGAACGAACATGGATGCAGAATAATATGAATTCAATAGTCTTTCGTGGTTTCTCATCAGATGCTTGCAACCAAATATGTACTACAATTTTACATTGAGGTAAGATGTAGTGTGGAACGATTGACATAAGTGACTTTAAAGAATTGGAATGACGAAGGTTATCAATAATAACTATATACATGTGTGCAAGAACAGATCAGTGGTTATTTGGTGTTAGAATCAAGAAAACATAAGGGATCAGTGATGTAACAATTGAGTGAAGTTCAGACACAGATAAAATAAATTATGTGATAATTCTAGAGGTAATGAAGGATTCACATGAGATTCATGGAATAAAAAACTGGTAAGATGGGTTGCGTAATAACTGAACAGAATTAGAAGAATTTACGTAATATGAGAGGATGGAGTGAGTGGAAATTTATAAGTGAAAGGGTGGCTAAGATGTACATAAAATAAGAATTCAGTAATGGAGGATAAATATGACAAACTAAACATTAACAAAATAAAACTATTGACTAAAATATTGAATTACCAGAGTAGTAATAGGTTTACTACTGTATCCTTTTGAATACATAGATCAGGTTTCAGTATTTTTATCGCAATCGCTTCAAAAAACCGAATAGAAGCAGTGGAATAAAACTTTCTTTATGGGAGATGAAATCACTGGAATAACTAACCACAGGATAAATTCCGCGTTGAAGGTGACCAGCAGCAAAACTATTAACGCTATGAGAAACGAACTGCTCCCTCAAACAAACTAACAATGACAGGTCTTCTTTTCTAATTAACTCCAACTGCATTTACCACTTTACATGTATGTTCCAAAGTATGTACATTGAAAGAACCGAGAGAAAAGTACATGATCGCACTTTTGAGCATGTTCCAAAGAAATTGAGACGGCGAGGGATAATGGCATTTAACAGTGCAATACCTCGGCATTTACTTGACACCTAGCATACCACTGACATTCATCAAGCTCTTAAAATTATCATTGATAACCCTCGTCATTCCAATTCTTTAAAGTCACTTATGTCAATCGTTCCACACTACATCTTACTTCAATGTAAAATTGTAGTACATATTTGGTTGTAAGCACCTGATGAGAAACCACGAAAGATTAATGAATTCATATTATTCTGTATCCATGTTGGTTCTAGCTTTATTTAAATTAATAAAGGGGACTAATTGCATGGAATTTCTAACAGAAACAACAATAATGATTTAAATAATTCGTTACATAACAGTATAAACCTTAATTTAAGGATTTAATCAATTATTTTTATTTTTATTTTAAAAATTACCTATAATTGGGGTATTTCATTAAAACAAGTTTATTGTCTTGGAAATAAACAGATTGAATAAAGTAAATTATTTCATGCTAGATTATCTCCGTAGAATTGATTTTTATAAATATCTTCTACTTTGATGGTTCAGTAAATATTCAGATAATTAACCTAAATGTATTAAAGAGAAAAAAAGGCATAATTAGTACCCACCCACCCCCGTAAAAAAACGAAATGAATTTTGAAAAAAAAAATTATTTCAAATTACTTTTAGTTCTGTAATTATTTGATTTTAATCCATTTGTGGTGTTATTCGTTGAATATACACAACCAAAAACCTTATTATATCTAGTTCACGTATTGATTGAATAATATAGTGTGTACTCATGGATTTATTGAGGTTTTGAGCTTACAACTTACTTGTTGAAAACTGAATACAGTGTAATCACTAAATCACCACTCCTATCCTAACCTCTAGAATGTTTCGATTATGTTCTCTTAACTTTCGGGCTACTTCATCTGTAACTATAGAATTATGTCATAGCGAGTAGGTAGAATCATGATTTGAAGAATTATATATTGTCTAGATATATATATATCAAGATGTAAGTTAAAAATTTACTTACTGATATAACTACTATTATCTAACTACTATTATTTAGTCCTGTGGAAATTCTATATGCTTTTCCATTTTTCAGTTTTATTATCCCTCGAATATTTTCGACAGTTTTATTTCTTTTCTATGAGAATTCATTGTAAATACCCTGACGATGTGAATTTGTGGAATTTTATTCTCTCTTGTTGTGTCCTAAAATTCAAGTTCAAAATAACTAAGTTGTTTCACCTTTTACTAGCTAAATAGTGGTTTTTGTTTCTTTTACAACAAGTTAAGAAGCTACTTAATTATCATAAAAATTTCTAAATAAAAACGTAATTAATAGTCATTTATTTGAATAAGTCGTTCAAATTTACAATGTGAAAAAATTATTTGTCAGTTCATGATGTAGTGTCGTAAACTTCGGTGACATGTACTACACTATGATCTTAGTTTAAATCCATTTAGTACACTATTTCAGTAGAACTTCAAGAATGCTTATGAAATTTTCCCATTTATTATGACGCAGATGTCGTAAATCGATTCATGTCGATAATGTCGACTTGACGATTTGCAAGTTATGTTCTTATTGTGTAATCTCAACATCGCTGACTTGAACCTTGACGAGGTACTGGATCTCTAATGCTGATGAGTCTGAAAACATAATAAACCAGTTGATTATTATTTCATTGCTTTTGCTGGTTTGCTCACTTAGTCATTTTGAGAGAAAAAGTTTATTAGAATTCAAGTGATCTATGCCATGAATAAAATAAGACACCAAAATAGGTGATAAAAGTTCGCAACTGAAGTGTTCCTAACATATGATTTTTTTTAATTTGCAGTGAAACATATTTTCGTATTAATATTTATGCAAATTTTTATTTTCATCTTGTTGATTATAGAAATATGGTACAGTTCTCTTTCTTCAAGATGGTTTCCGTCAGAATTTAATTCTAGAATCAATTGATGGTAGACTACAATTGATACACATGAATAAAGATCAAGCTGTGAAATATTCCATTGGTGAAAATCAAAGAGTGGTTGTAAGAGAATGGTATCACATCGAAGTAGGTAACGCATTAAGAATGAATAAAATTCTCGGATAGATTTTTAATCTTACTGTGATTGAGGCAAATGGATTCCTTATCTAATAATACACATATTTTTATGTCACAATGAGTAGAAAATTTTTTTTAAACTATCAAATCCAGTCTTGGCATTGATACCTACAGATCCCTTTTCTGTTATTGAGCAGTTAAAAAAATCAATTTTTAGTCATTAGTTAGCAATCCATAAACTTAAGTCTGGGAGTATCGTTAGAGTTCACGAAACACACGCTGTTCACAGTCAAAGGAATGAACTGGTGATGGATTTCATTAATTCAAACTATTTTATTATCTCACCAAGTTAGACAAACGTATTTCACATTAAAGTGTTACAGATAATTCACACATTGCAACTAAATTTAAAATCATTCAATAGACTGTTATTTTACTGATTGAAGGTAAAAATTGATTAAGGAATAAACTAAATCACCGTATACCACAAGACTTTGATTATTAAAACTTTACAATTAGCGGAGTGGATATAATGGAAATAGATAACAAGTGATCAAGATAGGCTGAAATATCAGGAGTAAATCAAAACTTTTGTTTCTTTTAGTAATAATAGGCTAAACGTGTCCCCAAAATAGTGGATAAAAACTGAAAATCTATAGTTTCTTACTAAAGTCACGTCGCTCCTGTGATTACCTACTCATTTTCAACAAAACGACTGTTCATGATGACTACGTAAACGGGTTGACATAATAATAACGATGTATGTTTTAACGGAATTATTTTTCCATCCATAAATGTACTTCTGAAACAATTTGGTCTCAATTGTTCACTATATAGAAGATATTTCACCGTAATACAACTAGCAGTCTCTTTTGAAATTTGTCCAATTTGAAGATGTTTTTCGTAGCAAAGTTACAGGATTAAATTAGTATCGAAATAAAGGAAAACTGTAGAACCATTTAATTCTTGTTCACTGGTCATTGGTAGTACTATTAAATAGGTCTGGAGAAAAGAGAAACTCATACTTCAATCTCAAGTAGCAATCTTGACATTTTTTTATCATTGGGTCAGAGTTTGGTTATCTTTATTTCAAATCTTGTCTACGGATTAAGTACAGTATCACCTTAGACAAGTTTATCGGATTATTACTCACTGAAAATTGTCTCTAAGGCTATCGTTCTTGAAAATCACATGTGAAATAACAGTTCATTCTTCAGGTTCACTGTAATGTCACAAACTTCTTTGATTATCTAAGAAGTATTCATAATATTTCACAAATCAAAGGCATTTATTATACACTTATTTATAAGAAATAATATATATATTTTTAATTTGTCTTTAAACTTCAATTTAAAGATTAACTAATATGGTTGTTTAACTCGTAAATTCAGGTCATCAAACAAGAATCAACTAAATTAATACATATTCGGGTCAATAATCAATCGACAATTGTCAAAATGAATATTTCAAATTATTTTGCTTTGAAAACAATTAATATTGGAAGTTTATCTACAAGGTATGAATGAAATGTGGATTATGGTGAATAATACTCATTGTTCTTATGTCAATATTTTAAAAAAATACTTCTTATAATTGGATATCTTATCAGTATGGGGTTGTGAAGATTGTTATGTTTTTGATTGAGATCATGAATCATCATTGAAAACCTGGAAGCACTGAATAAATCTTTCGTCCTTGCATGAGACCCTCAGAAGTGCTTATCCACGATCCCGCATACAAGACTCGAACCCAGGACCTCACACAGTTACTCACTAAAGACAATGGTGGACGGTCGCACGATGTCATGGATTGATTGAAGTTAGACATTAACACCGTTGAATGCCGGCCGGCTTGATGGTCTATAGGTTAAGCATTCGCGCACAAGACCGAAGGTCCTGGTTTCAAATCACGTCGAGGAGTCCCATACTGAGAGAAAACAGCCTTCCAGTGCTTCCACGTTTTCAATGGTCACCTAACAACAATCGATTCATGATCTCAATTAAATATTAGATACTTAGTTTAAAACCAACTTAGTTTCACTATTTTAAAAATAAGTAACAATAAAATGTAAAGAAGCTTTTGTTTAAATAGAAATATGCAAATTTTAGAAAGCATTTTAAAGAAATAGTAAACTTGATCAAAATTTCTTTCTCATGGATGCGTAAAACAGCTACGAAATTCAAGACGACCATCTAGGAAATGAGATTTTTTTTCTCAAAGAAAGATTTTTTGAAGAGATGTTAGAAACTGAATAGTTAAAGTTAAGAAAATTTATTAATGATTGATATGCATATAAAAGTTTTCTACAGTTACATTTGTGTATAGGTTTCATTAGAGCTAAATATATCTTTAAAAAGTGGTTGGAGAACGTAGGGTATTTTTAACTTTCCATTTACCATCAATATAGGTAAAGTGAATTTAAGTTTTTCATGAGTACTCGTTATTTCGAGTGTCAGTTGTACGTTCACTAAAAGCTTACTGTTAAAATAATGTTTGAATATCTTAATCTATGAGAATACATAAATTCATTCAATGAAATGAATAAGGAAAATTATCTATTGTTTTTCATTATTACTTGTAATTCGAGGTAAATTTTCATTATCTGCTTATACAAAGGCCATTTGAGTTAAGGTGACTAAAATATCTAAACAGAATCAAGCTTAAAATGTACAGTCCAGGCACAAAATCAATATGGTAAAATAAATACCAACGTACAGCATAAGATAACATTGTACTACTTACTGTTAAAGCGATAAGCAGTAGAAAATAAACATGTATGGTATTTTAATTGATTTTATTAAATTTCTTTAGAAATTCAAACTACGATACATATAGTAACTACATGCAAAGAACAACAGGATTTCAAGGTTGTGTAGCATCTTTTTCATTCAATTATTCCATTGATTATGATCAGTCATCATTAAATATTAAATTGAATAACACAACACCATCAAGGTACCATGTGAACTATTTATATTCGAATGATACGCAAAAAGTTAGTTTGCACAATATACAAATGGGTTGCCACTTTTCAGACAGTAAACATCTAGATCTGAATCACTGTTCAGAGAATCCATGTCGTTTCAATGGAATTTGCATGCAACAATGGAATTCTATAACATGTGATTGTAGTTTGACTGGTTTTACTGGAAAGTTCTGTGATAAAGGTAAGTGGTACTCAATGCTACTTATTATAAGAATTACTCAGTAAAGAATTAAATGAATATATATATATATATATATATATATATATATATATATCGCAATAACATCCAATTTTGTAGTAAACTAGTTTAAATAACAATATTAAGCCCATTTAAATCAATCTCTGTATACCCTTACTTTTAGTAAGAAGACCGACATAATAAACAATGAGAGATTCTACAAAATTCTCTTCAAAATTGTTTTGATAACGTAGTGTCAGAAGGTTTCAGTAATACAATAACAAAACGAGAGCATCGTTACAAAGTCATCTAAGATCAGGGAGCAGGAAGATATCCTAATTCTCTTAAATTTTTAATGGCTGTATAATTAATGAACTGTTAACGGCTGAACTACGTAAAACTTTAAACACAAACTACATGCATATACACTGAAAATCATATTCAGAACGCTCTATGCACGGCTGATACATTCATCGTATAGACCTCCGAGTCAGGCCACATCCATCCGAGTTTATGTATGTTTGTGCTTCTGTGGGAGTAACTGCATAGTCAGAACGATCTGATAAATAAACAGCGGATTTGTCTAAGATTATCTGTTGTGGCTAGACAAACATCTAAATAAACCCGTTAGAAGTTCGATATTTTTTCCTCTTAGTGAGCACAAAATCGACGTAAATTCAGAATCTCCCACCATATGCATACCGCAACAAAGCTTAGTCTACCTCGTCTTCGTTTAATAACTTTAACGGAGCCAATGACCATTAGGCTTTTCGGATCAGATTTATCTAGGCTAAAACCATGTATTCTTCCGCCGACCAATGGATCACTACAATAAACACTTTGCCCGGTCACTCTGATCAATGGTAAATATTATAATCATATGTACCCCTATTATTTTATTTTACAAAATATTCACATAGTGTAACGTTAATTCATTGATGTTGTTATTCCACTACTCCAGATATAAATTTCTAACAAACTATATAAATGGTTGCAAATATTTGTTAAAACAGTTACCATCAATTTCATTCTTTAATTCATATATGTGTATGATAATTCTATTGAAAGTTCTGAATAAAACTTTCTATTTATAATTCTAAAGACTGGTAAGAAATAACCGAAAATATGCTTTTGCTTAAATTGTTTCAGTAATTTATTATAATGGTAGCATTCTAGTTGCATAAACAATGGCGAAGTGACCATAATAGCGGCAAGAGGAAACATATTAATAAAAGTGCAAATGATAATAGTTCAAGGTCATATGAGATCCACAGCTTTGATGACTGGGCGGTTAAGGGGCTAAGTGTTTCATGAAGTAATGATAAAATAAAATTGGAAAAACAAGAACTACATTATGATAGATACAGAAATGCGAGTAAGTGGAACGATGAAAATGACTGATGGTGTTGAAAATCTATTAAGGAGTAGGTGTGCTAAAAGGATGGTATAATTCTAAATAAACACGGTGATATATGTAGTGAAATTTGATTGCTAAGGAAAAGTTAGATATATCATATACTTTGGAGGCTTTTGTAGATGTAATTTATGGTATATCAGATTAGTAAATTGGCATCTATATGTATTAGTCTGTTACTACTAAGTAAATGACGATCATTTTCGTAACACAAGTCATCTATTTTAAATGACACTTTCTACTTATTGTTGTCACATTTCTAGACTGAATAAAATTTTTAATGAGAGTTGAAAAATAATTGGAACTTTTAGTCTGTTTTGCTTGATTGTTGCACAATCCGACTGCATATTGCTCTAAGTCCAAAAATGACTCAGTTTGTTATGTGGTAGGCAAAGCATGTACGGTATTCCGACAACTGAATTTCTAATACGAGCATCAAAACAGTTCTGTTTCACAGAGCTGAAATTCGAACAACTACCACAACCATCATGGAAATATCCGAGTATTTATAAACAGTTGTCTACAAAAGATACTCAACATCCTTTGGATGGATACCATCAGCAACAGCCTACCGTGACAGAACAAACCAGCTCACGGGCGAAGATGATATTAGGAAAAATCACTAGAGGTGGAAAGGATATACAATACGTTAATCATCAAACTGCATCACGAGCCGAACTCTGGTTTGAAGTCGCGAAAAGTGGCAGACAAAAGAACCCATTACATCCAGAATTGGAGGCAGACTTCAAAGGAATAAATAGCGTTTAGAAACAACTGGAAAGAGGAACCGAGAACATAGTTGGTTGAGGAATACTAGCCAATGACCTATGTTTGCACGAGAGGTAGCAGTTGGAAGTAAGTAGCGTGAAAATGAAATTCAGAACACAATGAAGATTGATAACTAAAAAGTGCGATGGTTCGGCTTCGCCTTCCATCTACTATTCGATATTTACATTTGAATAGTAACTGTCCAATCCCGCATGAGAGAGTAATTTCAAAATTGGTTTTTGAGGATTGACTAGTATCTAACACGGTTTAGAGTTTTCAGGAATTTGAATTATGATTGTTTACTTCAGGTGTTTTTCATTTATTATTTTCTTTAACAGCCGGAACATCAGTTCGCCTATCAGAATTCCCTAGAAGATATGCTGTTTTTGAACTGAATTCACCTCAGAATACTACATTAGATAAACTGGCATTCGGGATACAAATAAGTAACCCTGGTACAATGTCATTAATACACATCCAAGGTCAAGGTCAGTCCCCAGACTTCATACAGTTATCTGTATTACACAATAAGGTAAGATGAATATTCATGTTGCTTGTAAAAATAAATATATCCGGTTAAATCGATTTAAAGTACTCCTTCTCCCTAACATATTAGATGTGCAACATTAGTTCATTGTAGGAAACAACAAAATAATAAGTGATTTTGTTTAATAAGACGAATTTAGTCAAATGGTAATGATATACATCTTGATGATAGTAAAAAAAGTATCTTAACCGAAAAATGTTGGAACTCACTTACGCCTGTTACTCCTAATGGAGCATAGACCGCCGACCAGCCTTCTCCAACCCACTCTGTCCTGGGAAAAATGTTAGAAACATGCATTTAAAATTTGTAATGACCATTTAGCTATAATATAGTAAACGTACTCTCTTCTTAACTCAATAACTGAGCTACCTTATTTATAAACTAAAATAATTATGACAAACTGAATATTGAAATTTCTTCTAGTTGGTTGACATAAAATTTTCAGACTATATTGTAATGTGATTTCTGAATTTTAATAAAATAATTAACCAATAATGAGTTGGGATTTACTTACAATGTAATAAAAAATTTCAAGTGTTTTCAAGTGAAAATATGTTTTTGTATATGATGTTAGAGAGTATTAACATGGAACCCTGTATTAATCAAAGATGATGTACTTGTCAATGTGTAATTTCTTACAAGAAGATTTCATTATATTTTTTTTTAGTATAAAGTAAATCTATAAGTATTTCCATTCTGAAATAGTTGCTAATCCGTAATTGAAAAATATATTTCCCTAAGGAAAAAAATCTTCAACATAGACTACTTATCTTCCAACCCATTAGATATTATTACACTTTTTCGTATATTTGATTTTTATTAAATAACTGGTAGTGTTTAATATCCAGACGGGTTAAGGAAAAACATTATTAGCTAATAAACCCTATACTCTCTAAACTTTGACAAAGCATATCCACGTATATTAATATTTGAGCACATGAGATGAAACATCTAAAACTCTAAATAATTTATCTAACATGTTTATTATTTACTGTAAAGATTACAAAGATAAAACTGACCTATAACTTTACCACCAGGTGATAAGAAATCAATTATCATTATAACATTGGTATCTTCTAACCATTTCTTTTGTTGAATCCCTCCAATCTTTACGTAGACTGAACATTATTTCTAACGACTTGTATTCTGAATTAGAATATTCAATGAAACCATTGTTGTTATTGAAATATAAAAGAAAAAAATGTCTATAATCTAGTACATTTCATTAATAAACAATAAATTTCATTTCAAACTTCAATCATAATGACTTTGTGTATAATACTAACAAAAAAACACAACTACAATATAAATACTTAACTACCTATGGATGGATAATTTCCATTGTATCATTGTCTTTTAGTACATATTTCATTATTGTATTCCATCTTATTTCAAATATGAAAAATGAATATAAATGATGAGAAACTTTCCTTTATATCCATAATTATTACGTCATTATTTTTACAAAGAGATCGAAAAGAAAAAAAATAAGAAGTGTAATTGAACACAGCTGGATGTAACTTGATGGAAACATCTTAATGTCATCCTCTCTGAAATATTTACATTAATAGTATTGTGTTTATTCTGTGTCATATTATTTTGTAAAGAAAGAAAGAAAAGATATATATACATATAATTTTCAGACACAAAGAATGAATAAGATGACAATAACAAATGATTTTCTATGGTAGAAATATGTCTAAATATACGGAAGTATATAGTTATGTAATTATTCGATTACATTAAGCTTATAATTGATTTGAATAATTATTTAATCATAATTAAATTTTTTTGTTTTTTTTACAAAATTTTCTATATCACTATGCGTCTATCAAATATGTTTACTTAATTACTTTTGTTTTTTTAATACTTCCTTTTTTTCATTGTCTAAGGATCAACTTAATCTTCATGTACGATTTAATATGGGTGGGGGAACTCAAACACTATTTCAACCAAATGTGAATTTTAATGATGGACATTTTCATATAGTTCAATTTATACGACAAGAAGCTAAAAGTATATTGTTAGTTGATTTTCAACATGAAATCACAAAACTAACAGAAGGTAATATTCTAACCTATGTGTACATTTTATTTAATAATGTAATTCAACCAAAAGACATTATTATTATTGTTATGTTTATTCAATATAATATTTTTTTATTGAGATCATGAACCGAATGATGTTAGACCACCTTTGGAAACCTGGAAGCACTGGACGGCCGTTTCGTCACTAGTGAGCACATTAGTGACTAGCATTGTGAGGGAATTCTCGAAGTTCTAGTGAGAAGCCGTGACCAGTGGAGCTAATCCATGTCGGATAGAGACAGGTATCTACCTCAATACAATGGAAGATGGTCGTGCAATTACGTGGATTGGTTGATGTTAGACACTATCACCACTGAATGCCGGTTCAGTGGTCCAGTAAGTTAGGCGTTCGCGCGCGAGACTGAAGGCCCTGGGTTCGAATCCCGGGAGCAGGATCGTGGATGTGCACTGCTGAAGGAGTTCCACAATAGGACGAAGCGGCCATCCAGGGATTCAAGGCTTTCAATGGTGGTTTAACATCAATCGGTTCATGATCTCAATCAAAAACTTAATAATTTCCACAACCCCTATACTAGTAATATTTTTTAGTACAACATAGAATTTTTAGTGCAAAGTATTTTAACAAGTTTCCGTTTTGTTATTTCTTGATCGATCCTGACGATAAATATTGAGTGATCACCAGTTAGAAGTAGCATTCCAATCAATCGACATCTAAATAATATACATTCTTTTCGATGTATATTGCCAGTAACCGCAATATCTCTGATTGGGCCGTTTGTAATCTGTACAATGAAAGTTTGTACAAATTTTCACAAATGTACCTGATTAGGTTATACTATTAATAGCCATAATGATGTATTGAAACAGAAAAAAAATTAGATAATTTGTTGAAATATCTTGACAGCAGGAACAGGTAGCTAAGATGTTTTTACTTATTACGTTCTGTAGTCTGAAAATTAAATATTTACTACTTCGTAATAAAACACAATTAACAATAACTAAGAAAGTATAGGTTTAATTGAGCCTTGTATTCTTCAATTTTATTCTTTATACAAATCAACAGAGATAAGACTTGTGATTTTCTAATGGTTTTATTAAGAAAAATGATATAGCAGAAAGTAAATTGATCTATACTTATAAATATTATTCGGAAGTTGAAATCCTTATTTTATTGTATGACACTTAAGACTCAATGACTAAAATGATCGTTTAAGTCACATCTTTTCTTAGCATTTTTTATGTAATAATCATGATGGTCATGCATGCAACTAATGTGGAAACCTTCGAAATGATTTGTATAAAGATTACAAATTTCTTGTAAAGTACTAACGAACTAATGTTTATGTAATGCGTGTTTACATTAAACAAGTGTTTGGATTGTTTTTTAATGTATGCTAAGCGTAGATTATATAAGCCATAAAAATGAAACTCAAATATATTTATAAGTATATCAAATTGGAATGTAATATAAATAACAGTATAATAATAATAATAAAAACTTCTGTAGTATTACTATAATAATAAATGTATAGCAACTCACGTGCAATTGAGTTTGTTCTCATTTAATTCGGTTAAGCCCTTTTGTTAATTTATTTAACGGAAAAAGTCATCCGTACTATAACAACTTATTGTAACTTTATTATTGTTGTGCTTGTATGAAATATGTATGCTTGGACATTGCTTACTGCCTATGCATATATTCATTGTGCTAGTTTTATTATTAACTGCTTAGTTGATTCGATGATCCATTCACTTCCCTATATATATATACATGTACATTTAACACTCTACACTCTCGGTTCGCTGACTCACTCATTCGCCTCACTGCTTTGTGGTCTGAGTTATCCGCTAATAAAACTGTAATCGCTGCTTCTCTTGCCTTCTGATTCCAAACACCGTTGAGGATTATATGATAACGGTTACGAGGATGATTTGTCGACGAAGCACAGCCACTACAAATACATGAGAAACACAATTTACAACTCTCACATTCTCATAAGATATTTAATCTAGGTGTCTTCACACACCGATGTATAATTGGTTGTCTAATTCACTCTTTATTGGCAGCATATTTTGTAATATTAAGCTCATGTTTTAACTTATGTCTATACGGACGGGTGTCTTTGGAAGATAGTTTAATGAATGTCATTAGACATATGTGTATTTCTTTTTTTTTAGATCAAAACAATAAACATTTCAATTTGTTAAAACGAATATATTTTGGTGAAGCACCAAAAATGAAAGAAAAGCTGTCAGTAAATAACAATAGTGAATTCACATCGAGAAAAGGATTTGAAGGATTTATTACCGGTTAGTTTGGACGAAAGGATGCATGAAAATTTATAGTACTTTTTGATAAATTAACCTAATGTAAAATCACAAACCGGGATTACAAACATGTAAGGAGGAATAAATTTATTGAGACAGTACTATCTATTAGTCGTTAGTATTTGGTTAATGGTATGTACGTAGAAATTTGTTCACAGAAGCGAAACTGCAGATATATATCTAAGTCGATAAATCGATATCTATGTAAGATCACAGCGACATAGTGTTTCAGTATAAACACAACTCATAGTTTGATAGTTCATATTTTCTTCTGTTATTTAATGATACAATACGATCTTCATCTGATATATGTTCCTTCAAACGTTACAAGTACCAGCTTGAATATGCGAAACATGTTTCAGATCAAGTACATTGCGAACATGTAATTTGAGTTTTAATCGCTGAAAAATTTCCTAATTTTTCGTAAATATTTCTTTTGACTAATAAGTGAATTTAATTCAAAACTAGCATCAGCTGAATATCTTAGATCCAAAACTGTCTAGTCATAGACATACATGATTGATGCGTTATTAACTACTTTTTCCTAGTTTCTAATATTCTTGACTTAGTAATGAGAAATATTTCCCAATTACTTAACTATATTTCATCTTATTGCTTAGTACAAATATGTACTTCATTAACTAGGGAACTCACTTTCATAACATAATTCATTTTTGACATAACACAAACATTCTCATCATTTAAAATATCTATAATCTATGTTCGCACTATATTGACTTTCATTTATTCATCGATATCATACAAACATGTTAAATATGCTAAACAAAATTCCAAAGAGTTTCTTTTGATTAATTTGACTTTATGAATTCACATAAAAATTAACAATTTTTGACATGATTATGTATCTATCCAAACATTTCATTAATTACTTTAGTTAACTATTAATGTTATCTGTAACTGTCTGTAAATAAATATGTTTATTTATCTTCACATTTTCTATATAATATAAAACAGTTTTCATCCTTATTACATAATGTGTAAGTATGAAATCCTTGTTTAAACAAATCCAAGTTGAATTATTGTTATATCAATGTATAAATATAAGTTATGTAAGTGTGCAACAATAGTATTTGACTGTCACACAAAAATCAATATGATATTTCATTATATTAACTATTCTCTTCAATGAACTAAAAATAAATTGAAGGGGGAAATACAATTTTTCAGTCAATTTTTCACCAAGGCTTTTACATTAGGATTAAGATAAATGATGGTTGGTTAATTTAACAATCCCAAAACAGAATGTCGAGCAATAGTGAAGTATCAATTAGAAACAAAAATTTCTTTGTCCTACCTGTATCTTTGATATGTTCTATGTATAAATTGTATGGAAATTCATGTTTATGACTTTCAGATGTTCAAGTCAAATGAGCATGAATCTTAATATGATGCCAGTGAATCCTTTGATTTCTTCAATGCTTTCTGAACTTAAATTAGTTTTTCATGCTTATCCATTTGAATCTGTAACTATTTTTATGCACATCGGAAATATATGAGACATTAAAGCCATTAAATTTCATTTCAGCGTTATAGAGGCTAAGCGTTTACCCCTTATTTTTGGTTCGATTTTTAAGTTCTAATTAGTCAATATGCACAATTGAGGAGTGATATACTAGGATGAAACCGTCTTCCAGAAATAACATAAATAATTTCAGTTCGTGATATAAAACTTATGAATATTCGATAATTTCCACTGAATCTTATTCTGAGAAAAATATTAACTTGTAATAACAAAAGATTTCTACCTGAACACTTCAACTGAAGAATATGCTATAGAACTGTATATTCTTTACAAAACCACTAACTGTAATTTTATCGTTTGCATGCAAATGTCTTATATATAAAGTCAGTCTTACTATATAATCATTTTGATGACACTGGACCGAAACTAATTCAAGAATGTTCAAAAAAATTATTTAAAATAAATTTTCTGGTACCTTTAAACAATAAAAATATTGTAACAAGAGACAAAAAATATTTTTTGCGGTCTTTTGAATATTTCAGGTTTGAATTTAAATAATATCAACTTGATAAACCTTTTATATGGAAATATGGTTCCTGGGATATATTTAAAAACTCGAGAGAATATTGAACTTAATCCAAATTTTAAACCGAATATGAAGAAATTACATGCTCATAGTAAAAGGTAAGTTCACTTGAATATCTTGATCATTTTAGTAAATTGATAAAAGGTAACCTGATTTGCCTCATAATATATACATATATATAGTAACTGTTACTTGCTTTAAACGACGTTAAAATTTGGTTTGGCTTGATTTCTCGTTTATTTTTCATAGATTAGGACACCATCAGAATGATAGTGTTTTTAAACTATTAAGACATGTTTTAGGCAGTTATTAAATAAATAAATTAAAGTTGAAGCTTAATTTGTAAAACTCAAATATTCAGTGTAAATGAACTTAAGACTGAATCATCCGATATAAAGCTTTTCTCAAACTATGATTTATTTGTTCATTAATAATTACAAAACTGTATATTTAAAATTGTTTAACAAACTGATGATTTAAACTCTTAATTTAAGTCATTATCAAGTGACGTCTATTGACTATTAGTTGTCAAGCAAATGAAAAAATGAACAGGAATCGTCAACAGACAAATATCTTTATTCGAAAACTAACTGATCATTCATTTATGACAAGTTATAGTTGATTGGATTTAAATACAAACACAATTTGAAAACGTTTTTCTTACTCATTTCAAGTTTGTAAAGAGAACCCACTGGATGAAATATAAGCTGCACTTTACATGTCAACTTAGTTTCTGGTTGAATATAAAACAGTGGCGTATGTAGGTTTTTTTGTACACTATAGAGCGTGAGGCATGACTAAAGTAGTGTATCTATTTTTGAATACATTTCAAATATCGCTCCAGGAATTCGAGGTACAGAATGTTAACTGAAATAATCTCAAAGTCGAACAGAGATAAGACGCACTTTGAAGTTTTGTGTAGTGCTAAACATAAGTAAATCCTCTTGGACTATTTTTATTATTTCTTTATTCAATTAAAACTCATGTATTTTCAAATCCAGTAATCTACATGTCATTTCATTAAAAAAATATGAAAGAGTCCATTATGTCTCCATTAAACCAACTATTACCTTCAACAAATTAATAAAATTTTGTAAATTCATTTACTGTATGCTAGAATACAGACATTTTTAAAGCATTACCATGATGTTCAGTTTGTTTCTCATTAGTTCGTTAGAGTTTAAAATATGCAAAACAAATAAACAGTCAATTAAGCTTCCATCAACTTAAACAAAATTTTTGGTTGAGATCATGAACTGATTAATGTTAAACCAGCATTGAAATCCTGAAAGCCCGCAATTTCGTGGATTGGTTAAGGTAAGACAATAATACCAACTCAGTGGTCTAGAGGTTAAGCATTCGCGCGCGAGACTGAAGACCCTGGGTTTGAATTCCACAGGCGGGATCGTGGATGTCCACTGCTGATGAGTCCCTCCATAGGAAAAAACGGCTGTCTAATGCTTCCAGGTTTTCAATGCTGATCTAACATCATTCAGTTCATGATCTCAATCAAAAATCTAATAATATCCACAACCCTATACTGCTATACGAAATAATTGAATACAAGTGACTTTCGTGGAGATAAGCATTTTACTGGCCACACCACTATGTTGGATATATGTAAGTTAATTAGTACTTTACGATTTTTGATTAATCCACCTAAAGTTCAAACTAAATCAATTATGTTTCTGTTGAACTATAAAAAGATAATCAAGATCTTGTTCATCGAGATGATTGATCATAATATTACAATTTAATTTACTAACATACTCCTTACAAATTAAATTAAAATTTAAACTACTTTGCTTGAAGGATGATTTCTGATTGATACATGAGGTTGACAGGATTATTATTATTATTATTATTATTATTATTATTTTAACACATAGATATTGGTACAAAAAGACACCAAATACATATGCGCCACACAAATCTCATTTGATATGTGTGAGGGCTGTGATACTGCCCGGGTGCCCAAACCGAAGCAGGTGGTTATCTAAGGGGGCCACACCCCGAGCCTTTGACCTAAAGGTCTGATCCACAAGGCAGTGGAGCATCATGAGGAGGTGCAGTCCCATGGTAGCCGGTGACCAACGATTGTTTCATACGCCATTTGTTCCCGCAGGATACTGGAGCCCATGTGCACCATTGGTTTGTGATCCGGTTAAAGCGCCGGACATTCGCTTTTCGTCCTCTCATTTTCGTAAACAACACCCCCGCCACGAGAAGGCAGTGAGTAGGACTTCCCTGTCAGAGGCTGTATACGCGTGGCCGTGTGAGAGCATTTCGAGAGGGAGAGCGGACTCTCTCCACTCTCGGCCGTACCAGGGCATTTGGGGGCAGGTTGACAGGATGTACTAAACGAAAGATTTTGACCAGCTGAATGACGCAATGTAAATCATAGTTTTGCTTATTGTATAGTATATAATAAATTAGTATATTTCCTATTTACTGCATTTAAGTTATTGAAGACAAATGGTAATATCCACTAAAATCTTTCAACATAACATTCACGAACTTTCATAAAAACGGACTTATTTGAAGTTATTAATAATAACTTGAATATCACTATATTCATACTGCTTTATTATTCATAAAATTATGATTTATTGTCTAATAATACATGTAACACCTTTTTATTATTAATTTGAATCCCTCGAGTAGAACTGAACCAGAAACTAGAAGTCAAATGAAGCAAACGATATGCAACTTACAGCGGTATGTTGATCATAATAACTCTTATAATCTATATTAATTACCTTTTTTCTAATACTTATTCTGTAAACAGAGTTACAAATTACTAATAGTGATGGAAAAAATATATTTAAATTTCTATTACATATCAATGTCACCGCTGTTTGTTCCAAAACAAACATTCAACTTTATATTGATTCTAAGTTTTCTTTTAAAATAACTAAACTAGTTATTCTATTTGCTAAGTCCTCAGGGGTTAAATAATTAAAAGTGGCATCAAAGAAAATGAGTCCATCTTTCTATTATCACAATGCATTGGATATGATTTACTGATATAATTTAAAAAATAACCCCAGATAAAGAAACAAAACTCATACTATTACAAGCGAAAGATGAAAAAATGGTCATGAGTTTTCTGATTTGTTTCAAGTTAATCAATAAGATATCATTGAGAAAGATATTCATTGAAGTGAGCATAGCTGAATCAATGAAGACAACAGAAATTTAGATATTTAACAAAGAACAAATAGAATGAGACTAGGAGTGAAATCTAAGACGTACATTTCGTTCTATTTGAAAATTGTCAGTTAGATGTGCTTCCATCACAGAGTTGATGTTCACTTTTGAAATAGAACTTATAATTGTTTGCTTTAAGTGCTATCATGTTATCTACCTAGGTAATTACTTCTGAAGACAGTCAAAATATCAACAACTGAATAATTCAGACCAGTTAGATTTAATTCATATTTGTATTAGTAGTTTTTATTTTCTCATTAACGTTTAGGACTGCAACTGATCAGTCTTGGAGTCCTGGAGTAAACAGAAACTATGAGGTCCAGATACACCGACCAAACAGTACAAAACACCCGTCTTGAATTTCACTGCTAGCTACCATCTATCTCCACTAAGAATTTAATTTAGAGATTTGGTCAAATGTTTTGCAGAAATAATTTATTGCTATCCATCATATGTATGAATGAAATATTTTACGTAATATCCATCAAACTGATTTCATTATCATAGTTAAGAAATACTAGTTGTTTGTTTGACGATATTTCACTGATACACCCTCAAGGATTATAATGACTATCCATCCATTAGTCGTTTTCGACTTCTTTAACTAATGATAACTCAATTAACCTAATGGATTAGTTTAACTTCGCATTGATATTTGTCTTAGAAATGTCAATATTCAGGGTATAAATTTGTATTAGCGAGATAGAGAATTCGAAGTTCATAGTCAGAAAGAAATGCTCTTGTTATGAAGTTATTAGTTTAGTTCTTGCCACAGACGTAGATGGATTCACTAAATGGATCCATTTATATCTGACTTTTGTGATACTGCGACTAATGTCTATGTACAGCTGAAATCACTCACAATTTTAATAAATTGTTCAACATAGTAAGACAAGAACTACAAATAACAATTCATCTAGCATTTTTAAAATTTACTTCGTTTATTTGTTGTATGTGAACGTTAATAATGTCTCATAAATATTGCCATCATCAGCTGGTAAGATAGTATGGTATAGATAATATAATAAAATCGTTTGTCTAAATTTTTGCAAGGTTCCAGTTATTAGTCTAATCAGGCCAGTGTCATTTGTATTTGTTGAACTAAGTCTTAACTGTTAATATTAAACTTTTGGTCTGTATACTTCATTTGCTTTTTCGCCTATTTAAAATCCGAAACGTATCGATTTTCTAAACATTTCAGACAGATTTTCATGACAGAATTAACGACTATAAAACCCAACCCATTGTTGTGCCGAAAACAGAATGCTTAAAATATGACAGTAGTTATAACTATAAAGAATGCCAACCAGCTGATTTAGATGGTATAATCCAACCATTAATTACATTCAGTGATAATCCTTTAACTATGCGAGCTGTGTAAGTCATTTATTTAAAGTTGAATTTTGATTTTCATAAATATAAATTAAGAAAAAATGAAAACTTATTTTCCAAAACAGTACTAGTAGGTCTTAATGCAAATTTATTCGAAAACAAAAATAAAATACATGGTATTGCCAGGTACTTTGTAGATTTCAAATTATTTGTGTAATAAAGATCAGAGTAGATCTGAGGGATCAAATACTGATTATCTCTGTTAAACTTGTATATTTTTATCAGCAATAATAATAAATCAATGTAAACAAAACTTTTAGGCCGAATCGATCATAAGTAGGGTTGATAGCATAGCGCGGTCAATCAAATCAAAGTAGATGGAATAAAATTCAAATGCAAAACTAAATCTTTCAAGTGCCAAAATACTGCATTAGTAAAAAGCATGATTTTTTGGATCTATGTTGGACTAAAAAGATTTAAACTTGGTAGAAAATAGACTACAAACGCTATTTGTTAGTTCCCCCTGTTCCGTGAAAAATCTGATTTTGTTGTTAATCACGTTCAAAAATAAAAATCATAAAAATAGGAAACAATCATGTAATCACGTTTTTGTCAGTAGTATAAAGTTTGTGATAATCATAAGGCATCCAGTGTGAGGTAGACAGTTTTACCACAGAATAGCCATCAAGCCTTCAACTTCAAAGTTCAATCTATGAAACAGTGGAATATGTGTGGAAAAATAGTTTTTAGAACCTCATAATTGATTGATCAATGTCATGTGTGTCAAGTCCTTCTTAGTGCAGATCGAATGCTATCGACCGAGTTGTAATGTGGGCACTAGTCTAGCTGACTCGACGCTGCGTGCAATATGTTGAGATAAGATGGTGGTTGGAGGTAGTCAAGGAGAAGGATTTGACACACATAAGATTGACCACCACCCAGTGATCAATCAATTGTGATTACATCTCAGTCATACAGGAGGTCAGTCGCGGCTCGGATAGCTCAGTGGTAACGTCTCTGACTGTGAAGCTGAGTGACACGGGTCCGAATCCGCCAGGGAGCACCAGTTCCCTCAAGATTACAGGTACACCTTACTGACGAGTGTCAAGTAGCACGAAACCCGCATCCAGGGTTTCCTGTTGACTACACCAACCACTATCTTAGTTTTTAGAACCTCTCTGACATATACTATAAACTTGAAGCAGTATAAAGGCGTCTCAGGATTGAGAATGAAATCTCTTTGAAGGTTACATGCAAACACTTAACTGAGATTTGCGTATATCGATGATAATGTCATAGAAATTGAACATTTTTCACATTTTATAGATAAAAATATGTATGCTACATTGAAACATAATCTTTCACAATGTTTGATGATTACTTTTCTTTAGGTTTATTATACTAGTAAATAAAGCTATATACAATATGTATATGCGTAGTATATTAAAAAAAGGTTTAGCCATTTTGTTTATTCATGATAAACAGGCAATCATTCGGTTAATAATTTATGTACGCATTTATCAGTTACTAGGAATTCAGTAAAACTGTAACTAACTTTGACAGATGGGAAATATTCACTTTTTTGGTTCTGTCCAACTTTGTTGAGAGAATTTTACACTACTATTTCCCAGGAATCATATGTATGATACTTAATAATTATATATATATATATATATATATATATATATATATATATATATATATATATGAATTCGACTAAATCACATGAAAAAATTCTTGACATTTACCTCTCAGCTTGGTTTCGTTTATGTATGTCTCCTTGATTTTTAACTTTTAAGGTTAAATGAGAGAGAGAGAGATTGAAATTTATATATCTATATCTATGTAAAATGTTAGTTAAAAACATTTTTTTTCTTGCTTTATTGGGTAAGTGACATAATTCAATTAAATGAAGTTGATCTTTGAAAAATTTGTATCTGAATCCTATGACAATAATATATTTATCAACCAATAGTCACTGATCAATGTTGTTATATAAATTATAGTTCAGCTAGAATTATATTGATCTACATTATGATCTGGTTACAATTTTAAGTGTCCGAAAGTGTATCATAAATTAATTTGATATGGTTGAGGGAGATCAAGCTTTTTGATGTTAAATACTATATATACGAACATTTGAATTGTAAATTTAAAAAAATACATATTCTGTTAGATTTATATGACCTAACAAAATCACATTATTTTAGGCGTTTATTTAAATAATGCTATCGATGATTGCCTAAACATTTCATTTATTTTATTAACAAATGGTAACTTTTTAAAACTAGGTACTCCATAAAAGGTTTTTTTACAACTGATTGACCACTATGTGGTGATCAATATCATGTATGTCAGGTCCTTCTTAGTGGAGATTGTATCTTAGCGATGAAGTTGCAATGTGGTCATCAGTCTAGGTGACTCGATATCGCGGGCACTATGTTGAGATATGATGGTGATTGGAGGTAGTCAACTATCATCTTATCTTATTGATGATATTTAAATGATAATTGAAGCGGTTGATATCTAATTTGTTACTTTCCATAAATTACTATTTCAATCCAAATATAAATTCTTTATAAAAGACAGAAATCATGATAGAAGTCCTATAAATATTTAAAACTGGTTAAGAACTGTAATGATCTAGTTACTTAATAGATATGGCAAATAGAACGATATTTCGAGTTATACTAGCCAGTTATTAATTCGTTTTACATCTAGAGTTTAGTTTTTTATTATATCACGCACAACTAGAGCACTCAAGCGCTAGAACCTACCAAGTCGCAAATGAGAAGACAGAAGGCAAGTGACAGGAATGCTATTCCAAACAGTTTCATTTATGGTACAGAACTGTCAGGTATTTATAGTTTTTATTAAAAACGAAATCATTATATTCCTCTGATTCGCATACAGAGAATTATTAGCAATTGTCCAATAGGGAAGTTACACGTAGGGATTCTAGAATATTATTCCATAAGATGATTGAATGGAATATTTTCAGCTTTTTTTGAGCTTCTTAGAGCTTCCTCGAGTTCACCCATGGATCGTCCTCACAATTTCTATAATACAATACAACAAAGCTTAAGTACAACTTCTATATGAGTTTTGTGCATAATATTACCTACATTCTTTTGAAGATGAGAATACAAAAACTATCTGGTGAATGAAATGAGTATTGTAAGTACTAATGGAGAGGATAATCATTTTTTTTAAATTTATGGAGTAAATTACTTCATTCCATGTTGTTTGTTTACTCGTTCATGTAAATTAATGTTTTGATTCATTTTCATATAAACATTTTAGCGATAAAAACGAATTTCAACAAGGTTGGAATGCTGATCAAAGTAATAATAATAATAATAGGCAGTCCTCTACAAGTGATAGCCATTTTCTTCAAGGTTATTCCAAACTAGATCAATCAACTGTACATCTAAATGAAATGGAACCACTTATAACCAATTGGTATAATTTCAGTAATAAAATATCACAAAAACATAAAGAAATAACACCAGCATTAGATAAAATATTATCTGAGAAAAATAATCCTACATTTGATAATAGTTTGTATAAAAAATCAAAAAATCTTTTCGGTTCATTTGTTGAACGAAACAAAAAATTCTCATTTAATATTGTACTGATCATTGCTGTTTCTGTCAGTGGTATATGTGTATTAATAATTTTAACATGTATTATATATCGATGTATGCGACGTGATGAAGGCACATACAATGTTGAAGAGAGTACAGCATATACTGGTGAAACAGTACAAACTAACAGTATCATTGGTGGTAGAAAACATATTATAAGTGATTCATCTATACCACTGATAAGTTTACAACCGGAGTTATTTAAATCTATTACATTGTTTAAAACTAATTCTGAAACTACTGATATAGACGACAGATCTCTAATCAAACTCAATTTGGATAATATTATAAACGAATCTAGTTTAACAAATGATAAAATCTCTGAAAATAATCCAGATGTCATTGTTATTGATAAAACTATCACTAACATGAACCCCATTATTACCAATGATGACTGTAACAATATTCAAAACACCTATTTTATTGAAGATAATAACAATAAACAGGTTAGAAAAACTTATTTGAAAGTGGATAAAAAGAAGTCGACGGTAAATCCTAAAGAATGGTACGTTTGAAACTGTGATTTTTTTTAATAACTTTAACTGCAATTGGGCTGTTATTTTTCATCCCATATGTCCTGTTTAACAATTCTAGCTAACCACTTCAATTAATTCACTTCTTTCAAGCAGATTTGATAATGTATCAACATTGAACACCTTATCAATTCATCTCTTTTCCACTATTGTCTATTATGTATATTTTTTATTAAAACAAAAGTCCTACATTATAACTGTTACTGTTGTTAGGGTATTACTATTAGTGTAGATAGTTATGTAAATGAATAATTAGTTAAAGAAAACATATTTCATGACTTAAGTATAAAAGAAATATTATTTTTCACTACTGTTTTCCAACATTTCAATAGGACTACAAGTTTGTTTGTTTTTTATATACCTAAATGTATAGGCAAAAGGCAAAAGTATGATTGCTACAGCTTTTCTGTATTGTTGTGAATTATAAAGTTTACTTTCCTTTCTTGTAGATAAATATAAAAGAAATTAAACAATAGAAATATCATTCTACCATTTATTCTTCCATAGGATTTTTGCCTTTTATAAATGATTGTTTGATTGTTAATTCTCAGTTATTTCATATACATATATATAGAAGAAGGAGAACAGAATGTTGTAGACTATTGAATATTTCAGTTGTTCTTTATTTCAATGATATTACTTACTTGAGTGTTTTCTGGTTAGCCTTTTTTCAGCGAGTTAGTTTCCTACGGGATGGGGTCGCTAACCCCATGCCCAACCCTCCTCCTTTATCCGGGCTTGAGACCGGCAGAAGCCCTCAGAGGGACTCCAGGCAGAGTTATTTAAATGATATACATTCAATAATATAAGAATCCATTTTTTCTATTATACGTCGTGTTGTTTTACAGACAAATTTATGAAGATCTTTATTATTTCAGATTTTATTTTCAACCGTTTATTGTCTTCATGTCAATCAAGAATTATTAAATCATTCTATAACTGTGTATGTGATGAATTATTCATTATTAAATTTGTAAATAAATATAAGATCTTATATGTAATTGATATTGATTGTTTTGTTTATTAATTAAATATCAAGAGGATACAAAAGTATACTTCCTATTGTATATAATAATATGATATTGTCAATTTTGAGTTTGAACTCATTAATGATAACTTTGATTTGTTAATCAATCACCTTGATAATCGTTATAAAATAAATCTCAACGGTTTTTAAAATCTGAAGGTAATGAAAAGCGGCAATTACATTTTACTAACCAATAGCGAAGATCCCAAATTTATAAGCATATCCAGCGAATTTGAAGGAGAGAGGCGAATAGGTATATACGAGCAACTACATAAGTAAATGTATAGTCAAAGTGCATAAGGGCGCAGCAAGGCAAACTAAAAGCTAATTATAGGATTTGAGTACATATATACATGGAGAGGAGGATGAATCATCGAGTGATATTTAAGCAATCAACATTTGAGCGAGAGCCTGCCATGTGATCTAATGATCATAACGGTGCAAAGAAATATGCGACTTGCAACTGTTCAAATATCATTGTCTGTTAAGTAAGTTAATAAAAGGCCTTAACCAAAATTAACCATAATCGAAATTGGTCGAAATGGATAGTTGCTATAACTATTTTATTTAGTAGTTATAACTAAGGCTAGACATTGTATAATAAACCAATTATGATTAGTGTTGAACGACCTGGATTATTTTACTGCTATATATGTTAGATACAGAAACTAGTGAATGAACGTTGACAAATTGTTTACCATGGAATACAATTAAATACCGGTAGATTGTTTACATGTATATGTATATTTATCATTCACTTTCCTCATTTGTATGGGAATAGGTGACTAGATATTGCACCAGGTTATTGATTATTTGATGCATACATTGTAAATATAACTAAAATTAACCTTAAAAGTAAATGACGTTTAATATTCTAGGATTTCAGATAGTATTTTTAGGATATTTTAGTGCTACAGGTTATACCAACTACTTTATAGTAAGTGATTAGCTATTTTTCATCGTCCTTAGTTGATTGATTGACTTAAATGTGTTATCACCACGTGTTTCGTCTGATTGACTAAAATCAACTATATTTTAGTTGTAGGAATTCGGAACTCTGAGATACATTCGTTTGTTCGTTCCGAAAACTATTTTGTAAATACTGAATACAAGAAATTTGAATGAATAATTACAATTGTGATTTGTGTTACATAAACCGAATATTGGCATGTTGCACATTTTGAAGTCATAAAATGAAGTAAACAATAAACATAGCTCAAAAAGTCCAAACTTTTGTAAATCAGCCATAATAAGCCTAATTGATTCAAATCAACTTACATAACTATAAACTCACAATAAGCTTTCATGATAAATTTTGTGGTTACAATCATTCCTTATGGACTCCATAAAGTTGAATAAAGCCAGAACAAATGTTGATGCAGAATAGTATGAATTCATTTTATTTCAAGACTTTTCGTCAGCTGCTTACAACCAAATGTGTATTAGAATTTAACGATTGACATAATTGAATGTAAAGGATTGGAATGACCAAAGTTATCAATAATGACTATGTATATATGTGCATGAACAGGTCAGAGGTTATTTAGTGTTAGAATCAAGGAAACAATAAGGATGGGTGGCGTAGTAGTTGGGTGGATTTCAGAAACAGATCATATAAACTGTGTGATAATTTTAGAGGTAATGAAGGATTCATGGAATCAAAATCCAGATTCATTTTAGATTTGTTAGCTTATATACTGAATGGAAAACGCTGATCGACATAATTCGAAAAGTATTGAGAAATGGAAATCATAACAGCCAAGACAATGATGTTGCTTTTTGATGTATTATTATAACTTAAGGTTTCAGAAAAATATTATGGGCAATCTAAATCGATATACATAGTCTCCACGAGCTTGTGATTTAATTTGGAAGCTTTCTAGGATGTCACATATGTGGAATTCCGGAACATCAGTTCAAATATCAAATACATCAGAAATATGAAACTCAATCATGATTTTAAGAGAAGTATATATATACTCTTAAAATTAAGTCTTTATTCAAAGTGAACCACCATTTATTAATGTTTATTTGTATAAATTCTAAGTCTAATGGGCATATTTTTTTCAGAAAAAAAGAATCAGATTTAAATATCTATTTCTATATGTTATAAATGAAGCATACACATTACAAGAATAACAACTTGGAAAAATAATGTTCACTGATTGATTTAATATGGGGACTCATTGATCATATGGTTGGTCAGTTCTTGCTACATTCTTTGGTACTGGTTTCCTTATGTATTAGTAAACTAACTGGGCAATCTAAATACCATTTATCCAAACAAATTGTGTATAATGTCATTGAGCAATATAATCATAGGTCATTTGCTTGATGGTGTAATCAACTTTGATGCATAAAAATCTTTCAAAATATTCATTAACCGTGTACCCTCGAATTTATTATGCTTCACTGAAGACACTAATATAAAAAGAATTCAACCAAGTTTATGCATTTAAATAAACATTTTAAAGGATTATTTCGTTTAAGGTAGAATAATTTTAAGAACTGATTAGATAGCACCAATTTTTTTCCATTCCCCTTATTATGATAACTTTTTTTATTTTCATATTTTTATTGCTTATCTGAGCTTTTGTTAGTTAATCAGTCTTATTCAAATAACATAGTAAACAAGCGATACGTTTAAACTTTCATTTCTATGAGCATATTTCTATTCTTTATTATTGAGGTCAAAATTTCATACTACTTAAAACCTTAATTACATGATATGTATATTTTCAACAAGCTATAATCTTATGATAAGTTCTTTTTAAAATAAGCTTAACTAGATCTGTTCCTAATACATTTAAATTAATTGATGCATTATATATTGACATTACTCTGTGATGAAAACGGCATCTACATGATAATTAGAAGTATTTTAATTATAGTACAAACTAGGAATCCCAGAAATAACGCGATTGGATCAAAAAGTACTAGATAAGCACGAACGAATGTGTTGTATTTGGAATTCGAAATCAAGGATTCAACAAGTACAAAGGAATTGTTAGTTCATACAAACACCACAATTTACATGTATTAAAATACAAAAAATACAAATTGAAAATATCAAAGTATAATTCATAGTTTTAATACAATGGACAACGTAACTATATATCTTCTCATGTTGTTCGTTTACTTCTTCAATATTAGTCAATAAGCACATATAATTTTTCCAAGATAACGAAGGATATTTCAGTTATTTTTTTTCTTAAGTTCAAAATAAAAGATTTTAAACTTACCCCTGTCACATTCATTATTTTAGAATTTATTTACAAGGATTACACTGAAACGAAGATATAAATGTTTTATACATTCAACGTAACGAGAAATATCTACCATGACCATCTTTTATTTACAAATGTACATAATGTTAAACCTAACTGACATTTAAAATGTTTACTTAAAGAAATCAGTAGATATAATTAGAAAAATTAGTTAGAGATTGGAAGAGCAAACATCAAAGAAAACAACAATTATATCCATTTTTCAATACGTAATGAGATGAGGTTCGGATAAATGATTGTTAACTTTTGTTAAAGAATCATGCTATAAAATCAATACATTTATACCTGCAAGTTATCTGAACTCATGATAAATTGTCGATCCAGCCTATAATGGATTGAGTTTTGAGTATCATTAACTATTCGTGAAAATCCCAAGATGATTAAAACTTTTTTGAGATATTACCGTAACTTAATAAATAATTTATTGTATAATACGCAGTTTAACATTTTCCACATTTTGTTACCAACATTATCGCAGGATATGTGATGAGTTAGTTGGTTTTAACTGGTATTTTAATGTAGTTTGTGCTTTTGGATACAATTGTAACCTGAACCAACTATCTCTAGATTAGATATAACTAAGTTGTTGGGTAAGAAACTTTTAAGACTAGATTTATTGTTCATTTTTTCATATAATTATATTTAGCACCACTTGTACAGGTTTATGAATTAAGCATTCCGTGTTACATATAGAACTTCCTCTATTGGATGAAATGTCGCTCACCAGAGATGTCCAACCAACCATATTCTGTGCTCATTCATTTATTCGTTTCCAAATTCTGCCAATGATCTTCATGTCTGCCTTCCATTACTGGCACCATGCGTTCATTGTTTTACCTCATTCCCTTTTTCTTGAGGATTTAAATATGGGCCTTGCCTTGTGATTCTGCTTTATGGTTTCTAAAAAGTATCCTATTCTAAAATTCTAATATCATCGTCAGCAATACACTAGTTTCTTCCTTGTCAGAGTGCCTCGATATCTTCTGAGTTCAGTAGAGCTTATCTATCAAGGAACAATTTAGAGTGCCTTATACATCTGCTCTTCTGCTAATGACCTTCAGTGGTTGTTTGTCCGTACGGTTGTCATCGACTGCTGTCTTCTTATCAGTTTTGTTGAATATTTTCTCAACTGCCATTCATACACTCTTTATACTATTTTTTTCCTACTAGCATTTTGAAGCTAATGCTTACTTAATCTGAAGCGATATAAGCTGTCCTTGTTTTTATGTCTTCTACGGACCTTATGAATTTTTCTATCGATGCAGGTCTGCTTGTTTTGGTTTTCTTTATTGTGACCTGGCGTTTTGTGAGAAAAAATGAAGCTGCCTATTACCATTTTATCAAAGGCACATAGGTTCACAAATCTCTTACCATCTTATTTTGTTTGCTCAGTCCATGTTGCGCGAAGATTTCTTCATATCCAATATTGTCCATCTTCACGTTAACCTTCAGGTCTTTCACCAGGATGATCAATTATTTTCTCAAGGAGTTTTCCAGAGTGAACCGCAGCCTCTTATAAAACTGATCCTATTTGTGGATACTTAGAACTCCGTATTTTGATGATCTCTGAGCTATGGAATCTCATAAGTGATTTTCGTGATATGTTTAGAACATTTTCTTCATTATGATCTCAACACAATAACAGCTCTACCGAAGTTAATCTTTTTGTCTAAATTGTGTCCAGTCAGTCCCACTTATTTAAAAGCATAATCAGGCTAATTACCCCCGCTTTTG